ACGCACGCACGCACGCACGCACGCACGCACGCACGCACGCGCACGCGCGCGCGCGCGCACACGCACACGCACACGAACGCGCCCACGCGCACGCGCACGCGCACGCGCACGCGCACGCACACGCACGCACGCACGCACCCACACACACACACACACGCGCGCGAGCGCGACACACACACACGCACACACGACACACACACACACACACAGACACACACACACACAGACACACACAGACACACACACACACAGACACACACACACACACACACACACACACACACACACACAGACACACACACACAGACACACACACACACACACACACACACACACACACACACACACACACACACACACACACACACACACACACACACACACACACACACGCACGAGAAAGCCATTGTGGCAGAGGGGTCCGATCTTTGCCCACCCGCGCAGGTGCAGAGCCCACCATGAAAGCTAGTGGGATGCCCCTTTGCGACGCGCTAGCCCTGAGGGCAGCCAGCCTGATAAAACAAGTTGCAATGGCGGAACCTTGATTCAGGTGGTTCACACACACACACGCACGGTACACAAGATACTGCTGCACCATGCGTAATCCTTTGGCCTAAGACTCCCTCACATGGCCGCTAACGTGTCCCTGCCCTTGCTAGCTGCGGGTCCGACAGCAACAAAGCAAGCCTTCAGCTCTCAGTCAGGCACGTGTTTCACCTCATTAATGGACATCACGCACATACACACACACACACATGCTTGTGCTACTGGCCGTAGTGAATCCCCCCGCAAGCGCCCATTCGAGCGATTCTTCTGGCCTGAAGATCGGGGTTCTCAGTCAAGGCCTCTTGCAGCGACTGCACGCCAATGCCCCAAACACCTGCAATGCACATGCCCTGCCAGCTGTTACCACTTGCCACCCTTCAACTTCAATCTCACTAAATCACGAAGTAGACAACCTATCCTGACTCAGGCAGGCTTTAAGGGCTGGCTTTTGTTAGGGCCTACGCTTCCACCAAGCCATTTCATTCAGCACTTGCCCACAACAAGGCCCTTGTTAACTCATTGCGCGACAACCTCAAGTGACCCAATCCTCGACACCCCGTTGTTTTGACAAGAAGCGCAAAGGTGCATTCATGGAAACATTTGTGAGTGCGTGCTTGGAGTGCTACAAGGTTTCCCTTATCCATCTAGAGAATCTAGAGATCATCTGAAAGCACCGTACAAAGGCGCTAACCAGCCGCGCCGCACCGGCCCTGTGCCTCGTAGCCCGGTAATGCGGAAAACCGCAGAGCCAATGGCAGCTGAAAGGCCCGCGAGCATCGCGAAAACCAAGTATCTGGGGATACGAGCGCAGTATTTGTCCAGCAGCCAATGGATAAAATGAAAGCTCTTGTGGAAGGCATAGCCCACCAAAGCGCACAGCAAGCCAATGGCTACGGAGATGAGCATCCACATCTGCTTGCCGAAGATTCGGTCAGCTGAGCCTCCTGAGACCATTTCCTCAGGGAACAACATCAACATAAACTGGACATGCAACCCTCATTGCCGGCCCCACTCCAGGACATAGTACTAATCAACTGACGGTCTTTTGTCACGGGCAAGTTTGCGAGGAAAATAAGTTAGTGTCCATGTCTTTTGGGACTGTTGAAACTTCAGCAAACTGATGATCTGTATTTATTTCGCACCATGAGCACTTTGTCATAGAGAACACGCTCAAAAAGGGAGACTCACATCAAAAGCTTCCGTTTTGCCTTTTTTGAGGAGGCCTTTTGGGTCACAGGGATTGAGTAGCTTGGACTGAGTGCACTAGGAGTGCGTCCTCCAAGTTTGGCGGTAAGCTCACGCTGAACAAGACTTTGTTCTCCAGAAAGCCGCGCATCACCGCAGTGGAAACAATGGACCCCAGCAAGATGATGCATATCACCCGTGTGGTGAGTCTGGAAGACACGTGCTGTAGCTCCTTCAAGGGGTTCCCTAGCCAAACCCTGACATCTGAACGACGAGGGTATTTTGTTTCCCCCACCAACCCACCAACCCACCAACCCACCAACCCACCAACCCACCAACCCACCAACCCACCAACCCACCAACCCACCAACCCACCAACCCACCAACCCACCAATCCAGGCGTAGAGATGCTCCTCCATGGCAAACAAGATCCCCGAGAGCGGCGCATTGAAGCTGGCGGCGAAGCCGCAGCAAAACCCCAGGGAGGCCAGCAGGCTCTGGGTCCTGCATGGGCTAAGGGTTCCATACCCCAAGTTAGGCTAAAACCCCAAGGCTTCCCTTTCGGAGGAAAAACCATTGGACTTGCACCTGCCTCAAGTCTGTGATTGTTTAGGAGGCTCTGGACACAACAGTGGGTATACTTTTGATTGGGCGATTCAACCGTTGTTTAAGCCATGGATGAAACATCTTCAACCAGCTCTTTTGATTTTCTTAACGGGCCCGCACCACGAAAAAAAAATGGCTCCCTTTTTATTGAGGCGGCCCATTGAATGTCAATAAATTTTGTCACGTGAACACTTCTATGCTGGACAGGGACCAAATGGGAGGGGGCCTATCATGCGCCTTCCTCCGACGGGAAGCCGTTTTCGCCTTCGCTGCGTATGCCCTGCTTGGGGTCTTGCAATCGCCAGTGCCATCCGAATGCATGGGCCAAGGCAAAACGGGATCGGAACACCGCGGCGGCCGAACGTTCCGCGTCCTCGGGGCCCGGCTCCCAAAGATCCAGCCGATCATGCCCGCCAAACCGGTGCACACTTGGATGGTGGGCCTCGGCGCCCAAAAAATATCCAAAACGATCAAATGCCCAGTGGATGTCCATGGGAAAAAAATAAAAAGGGGCATCCTTTTTTGGTTGGTCTTTCAAGGGACACCCTTCCCAAAAAAAGTGCACAAAAAGGGCGGAATCCACTGGGTCCACTGGGCGACTGGGGATAGGGGCCTAAAAACCGATCGTCCGGCAATGTTGCCCGTTGCTCACAGTTGGGCAATGCTGAGTGGGAAGCACGAGACGAAGCGCGGGGGAGGTGCTAAATCGAGTCATGAATGCATCAACAGATCCCACAATTGAGGGCACACTCGAAAGCAACATCATGCCACGCCTCGCTGCATTTCCAGAACAACCGGCCAGAACAAGCCAAGAACTGCAACAGCAAGCTTACTTGATCCCTTGAAGTCGCTTTTTCTACATCAGCACAAGCCCCAGCCCCTGCCGATCCTGTTGGGCCGAGTGGCCCATCTCCACCCATGGTGCCACCACCCGTGAAGTAGATGGCTGTTATGAGCACGCGCAGCACCGCGCAGCGGAATGAGATCGGGATCCCGGCCGCCACCGCGAGCAGGGACTGCACCGTCCCTCCCCCTAAGACCTGTCAAAGAGAAGCGAAGCTGCAATCCACAAATTGGAAGCTCATGACTTTTGAGACCTGGGCCGACGCATGCACACACACGCAGCCGCAAATGTCGCATATGTGGGGATAATTGCTAATATTAAGCTGGCGAGGAATTGTCGGCCTCCAAAAAACACGTTACTACCGCTCTGTGTTGAGGCGGCCCCATGGATAATCATGGTGGGATTGAGGTGCATGACACCCATGGCAAAACCCTAGTGTCTGTAAAGAATGTACTTTGAACCTCTGTGCACGAGCCCCCTCCTGCTTGCCATAGCTCTCAGGAACTACTTCCACAATGGCCCCGATCAGAAACAAACTGACCATGGCCATGAGCACGTAAACCAGATCCTCCGGCATATAGTCTTCCAGGGCTTTGATCAAAATGAAGCCCTTCTTCTCGTAGTCGGCGCCGGAGAAGCTGTTGCAGCCGTTGACCCCCAGGGGGCATCCCACGTATTTGATCATAGAGTGGAGGCCAGCCACCACCATGCCCAGCAGTGCAGCCACCAAACACACGAAAATCACCAGGAGCAGCGGCAGGGTATCCAGCTCCGAAGCGTCCCGCGCTACCGAGAGCATGGCGAAACGGTCCGAGCGGCTGGTGAGATTGCCCTCCCCGCCCTCCTCGAAGTTGCCGGGAAAATACCTAGTCAGGAAAGGGAAATGAATGATGAAGCTTTTGGGTCTATCCAGTAGCCACAAAACAGTCATACCGTAGCAAAACCTGGTAAAACAAAACGCCAACGGTCTTGAATAGCTAGCCAAAACTGGTAAAACCAAAAGCCAACGGCTGGTAAAACTGGACGAAGACACTGGTCCACAGTCTCTATGCTTGCCTCCCTGCCGACTGGCAATTCCAACTCAGAGTCGTCTGGGTCATCGGTCTCCGCGATGGACGTCACATGTGAGTTGGCCCGGTCACGCTGCTCTGGACCCTCTGAATGCTCCACGGCCGGGATGCCATCCACATGTTCCATGAACTTGCAGCCTGCTTTGGGCACCCAAATCTCCACAGATCAAACACCAAGATTCCTTCCTTCTGGTTTCTGTGACTGGGCGCTTCGGGCGGTGAGCATGTGTCCATGCCTGTCTTTTAAACATTTCATTGATTTCTGGCATTCCAATGGCATTCAACCGTCCGTGTAGAACATACCCATGGACGCGTAAAACCAGCACCATCCTCAGAGCCACGCAGCAGGCGGACAGGCGGATGAGAGCCAACAAGTCGCGCACGCAAAAAACTAGACCAAAAGCAATCATGTTGCCAGGATTAATAAACCCGTCCCAGGGGGGTGTTCCCTCCAAAAGTGAGTCCGCACCAAAAGGGGACACCCACCTATTAATCAACCAGGGGGTCATTAATCCGGGGTTAACATTACAACACCTCCAACATGCACGGGTAGAAGTCACCAAGTTGGCTTTCTAAATCATTCAACTTGAAGCCAATGGTGCAATCTTTGGTGGACTAGCGGAACTGATCCACCACGAGGAGAAGTTCGCCACGTCACGCAAACCGTGCTACACAATGAACGTCATCGTTCGCTCACCCTGGAGAGGAGCTCTTGCAAGTCGGCGATGCATCGCACTTGAGGCGGCCACTGTCGCTAGTTGAGTGATCATCTCATCAACCTGGTTCGGCAAATTTGCGACAGCTCCACTATCTTCGCGGCTTTTCGGCACGAACCGTACACACGCACACACGAAACAAAGGACCATGGCATGCATTGGTGTTCAGTCACTTCGCAAACCATACAATCCACCCATGCGGCACTACTCCTTGTGAGGATCATGGCAATAGTTCGATCAAAACAACACCCCTGGGAACCAAAACGCTAGTTTACCGTGGCACACATCCTTGCAAATCCAAACAAGTACAAGTACTTGACATCTAATAAGCCCCGGGAGTCTGAAAAGGGGCGAGGACAGCCCCACACTCTGCGCAGAAACTGGACCAGTTGATTCGCTAAGGCAACGGCCTCCGCGCGATGTTTGGACTCCACCTCTCCCACGGTGCAGCTATGCAAGCTGCCCACCAACATATACGCAGCAATCCAAAGGTTCTTCTCCCAGTAGGCCTGCAGCCGAAGGAGTGCTTCGTATTGCTTGCTTCCAGGCAGGTAGCTGTAGCGTCAGAGTTGGGGATCAACTCGGGGCAACAGCGCTGTCCATTCCACTTTTGCAGTTTTTCTCTCAAGTCAGAGAGTAAAACTGCCGAATCCGGAAGATTCCGGACTTGACCACGACTTTCCCCTCACTATGTATTGAAAAGAAATCAGTTACGTATATATACCTATATATATATATACATATATGGTTTTGAAGCGTCTTGGGTAAGCTTTCACCAAAGAAAAAAAAGAAGGTTGAATGATACTTCTGCGCGGCTGGCTCTTCAGCTGGGACTGTGCCTCTGGCTGCCCAGCCTGCGTAAAGTGAGGCTTCCGAAGGATTCGGCAAGCCTCGGCAAAAATGAAAAGAACATCGCCTGGACCCTCAAACCGCCTAACGAAGGGGATGCCCGATAAATCCACAAGACGGAGAGTGGTTTCCCACAGGGTAGTTGCAGTTTGAGGGCCCAGGGCATGATTTGATTTGAGCCCATCTGGGTAACATGCACTAAATTACCAACTTGAAATAAGCAGTCGGCCTCAAGAAAGAAACTTTTCTGGCTACTGTTGCTGATTCATCTTATGAGCTTGCTATAATTTGCCCAGATTTGGATAGGGCCGGGGATGAGTCTCAGCGCTTGCGGGCTCGTCTGTGTTCCGTTGCTGTGAGCCGCAGTTCCAAGCCTTCATTGCTCCACCGCGCAGCTATTTTAGGGGTCCTGTTGAATGATGCGCCTGTTGCATTGGGTATCGTCTAGCAACTGGAATGTTTTACAATGCGATCGGCGCGGGTCTGCATGACAAAGAGAAATAGCAAACGCCAGGCCAAGCAATCTTCATTCTAAACCTTTCCAATTCTCAGGATTATTTCATGGAAGGTGATAGGGGAGCTTACATTATTTCTGGATTTTAATGCTTTCCTTCATACCCCAGCCCTTTGTATCTTTTAGTTTGGTTGGAAAAGGAAACGAGTGATGGAGGAAGGACTAGATGATTGGTGGCATTCCTTTCTTTCCTCTGGCCACCTCCTTCCTCCACACTTCTCTCTACCTTCTATTTCTATTTCCCTCACCCAATCTCTGATGTAGGGATGAGGGGAGAAATAGAGAGGTGACTGAGAGGGAGAGGCCGTGAGGTAGAGAGGGCATTGTATTCCTACTTCCCTTTCTCCTTCTCATTCCTTATCCAGCCTCAGTCTTATTACGTGGTAACTAGTCCCAGGCCCAAGCTCCTGGCACCAACCCAATGCCAAATTCTAAATGCATGTAAATGCATACTTATCTGTACTACCTCAAGTTTGCTTCATTCATTCATTGTATATAACTCCAAGTTTATATCTTCAAATTGTGCCTTGTACTTCTGAGCCACAAACAACAATATATGTATATATATATAATATAATTGATAACCTCCAACGGTTTTGTTTAAATCCGTTGCTCAGAACCTGCGATTTTGACGGTTTTCGCATCCGGGAGAGGGGGGGGGGCCATTGCCCATTTGGACGAGGACTGAAGAGGAAGTCCGTTCCAAACTTTCTTCTGTCTCTTTTCACCTTCTTAAAGCGAACGGCAATTCTCAGCGACCCACCCAATGAACAACGTGTAAAAATCGTCATGGGTCTGAAGCTGCGATTTGTTGCCCCCAAAACCCGGTTCTCTCAGCTTCCCGCCAGGTCGCTGGAGGTAAGTCTCCAGTTCACCTCTCTGGCCCACTTCCTGGCTCGAGCTGCAAGGCCTCCCCTCTCCGAGCCATGGCGTTGCCACTCTGGAGGGTCCACTCCAATCTGCTGACATGCAAGTGGACCCCAGAAAAACGAATTGAAGAGCATACTTCCCAAACGCATGCGCAGCAACCAGCAAACATCAAAAAACACCTCTCGTGGCATGTCAGCAGTGACCCGAGGCCGCCACCCACCGGCATTCACCGCCGTCAAGCCCTCCGGATCAGTGTCGGTCCTCAGAGCACAGCAGCTGGCTTGTGACGGGCATAACTGCCGCATGCCCAAGCACACGAAAGCACATGGAGCAAAACAGCCTCGCGTAACCTTTGGCAAGCCACCTGCACTGACGGGTAATCACTGCCAGTTAAGAACAGGCGGGCAGCCAGCGACAATAGCAACGACAATGACTTTGGCAGCGACAGCGATGGCCCCTGTGCATTTCAGGACGCGGCTTGCCGTCCAAGGGCGCCTCTCCTTTCTTGGCGACTGCAAAGTACACCAAGAGGATAGTGATCTGAGCAGGCTGAAACGCCCAAGGTGAAAGACCAGGCATGTAGCGATGCGGTTGCTAGCCTGATTAGCGCCACCACTGAATGTGCCCAAGGCTATCAGAAGTTGTGGAATGTTTTCAAAACCAGCATGTTGCATGGCAACCCTGCCAGCACCAAGAACCAAGTAAGGGCTGGGTGAAGCGAATGCCTGCCTCGAAGCAGCACCATATGTGTTTGCCGTGCTATGGCATGTGCGCGCAGCAGGGCAAATGCAAGTCCAAACGTGGCTCGTTACATACGCATGCATATTTACATATATGCGTGTATTCAAGAAACATGTAGCCTCAAATGCACGCAACGCAGCAGCACTCTTCCTCCCACATCTGGAACAACAAACTTAATCTGCGTCATGACAGCCATCACGGCGTTCGCTTCAAAGCGCACCCAACGTTCGCCTTTCACCAAAGTCTGCCGTGCATGGGACGCAGCAATGTGACTTCCACATTTTGGGCATAGCTTCGTGCTCCGTAATGTAGGGAAACAACTGAAACGACAGAACAAATCTGTGCAGGTATACTTGCAGTTCTTGGTTTCCAAAGCCGTGGGGCCCCCACGACCACTTCCCAAAACAAAAGAATTTAGGGGCTGCGCTTCACAAATAAAAACAATCATGCATTTTATGTTCAAGTCTCGTGGCGGAGCAGGTGGGAACCATGCACCCCCCTTCTTTGAAAGGCTTCTATGAAACTGTCCGCTTGGTTGGCCTCCATTTCATTTGGCCGGGGCCACGGCAGGCAGCCCTGGTCTCAGCTCCTTGTCCAGGAAGGGCCTGGGCTTTTGGGAGAAGCCCCAAGCTTTGGGCCTGGGCCATGGAAGGAAGGTTGACAAAACGCTGCCATGGCCAACGGATGCAGTCCATGGCCCCAAACTTCCAGGCTCTTCCGCTGGGCAATGGACATCAAAGCGCCGTTCTGGACGAACACCAAGTCTTCGTGTCGATCCTCTGGGACCGACGCGATGATGTCCTGGCAAATGTGAGCTCCGAGTCTACCGCAGGGAAGGCAAACATTGCGGCCGCTGCAGCTGGCCGTTTCCCTCCCAAGTGCTTGCAGGCGGTACTGCAGCAGGTTGCATGCAAGATGCAAAGCCCCATGAAGCTGAACCTGGCCTTCAGCACGTCGTTCCGAGTGCACACATACACGGGGCCCTGTCAAGTTGCCCGCGTGCCGTGCGACCCCAGCTTGCCACAATGCAGCGAGTGAGGCTCCCAAGTGAGCCACCAAACCCAGAAACACACAAGACTCGAGCTGCGCCAACAGTAGAATAAGAAATGAGAGCAAAGCCTCATCAAGGACCGCGGACAGCTTGCGGGAAAACTGCACGTGTTAAAGCAGGGGATCAAACATGCTTCCACCCGCCCTGCCTTTGGAGCATCCACCGGAAAAGCATCACCGCGCCGGACAATGATATCCTGGCCTGGGGCGAAGGTGTTTCTCCTTGGACTTAGAAAGTCCGCCCTTGACAAGATTCAACGCAGGATTTGGAAGAATAGTGCAAGAACCTGCCAGGGTGCCTAATTCTGGTTACAGAGATTCGCAGCGATAGCCAGTCTGCTGCAGATGCCCATGCAATGTAGGCATTGCGCGCCACCCTGCCTCACTTAGCAATCATTCAGCACCATCTCTGGCGATAGCCACCAGCCAGCGATATCCAGGATTCTACGCACAACTACCACATCAAACGTGTGAAAGCATGTGCTGTACCTCGGGACGGCCAGCCTTGATTGCGGAAACCGGATGCACTGCAGAGGCCAACAGTGCACGCCAAACAAGACCTGTTGCCCGGCGCAAATGTCGCAAAACTCACTTGCTAGCAGGCGTTAGACGTCGCAATGGAAAGCACAGGTGGTTGCAAAATGGCCCATTCCACTGTGCATTTTGCATTCACCAACTCAATCAATACATTCCACGTGTAATGGCTCGCCGCGTGGGAATGGGAGATATACGGGAGTTTGCCGGTTCTGCTCAGGTTGCACATGACGGTTGTCCGAAATTCCTTGTTCCGGAAACCGCCATCTTCGCGAGAAAAAAATAACTTTCGCGGACCCCATCGCGGAACTTTCGCGGGGCTGCTTTTTGAAGAACTAATCACAAAAGTAGCACACGAAGTACACTTTCGCAGCCCCAGCTCGAAAGTCACAGCTCTTCAGTACGAAAGTAGTACTAAACGTATAAACTTCCGCAGCCCGGGCTTGAATACGAAAGTAGCACACGAACTAAACTTCCTCAGCCTCGTCGAAAGTCGAAACTTTGCAATGCGAAAACAGTAGACAAAGTCAACTTCCGCAGTCGCAACCTTTCAGTTTCAAAGTAGCACGCGAAGCGCGCTTCCGCAGCTCCAGCTCACAAGCCGTGAGCTACACACGAGAGGACCCGTTGGCCTCATGTCCGGAAACTGGCGGGGAGGTCCGTCGACTTTCGCGAAACTCTCGCGGATCTTACTCTAAACATTCGCGACAATCCGGCTGGAAGTTGCGCTCAACTTGCCCTCAAAGCTTCAAAACTCCCAGAAGCTGGTTTCTGCTGGCTGGGGGTTGCTTTTGCAGCGGCGTATTCTTGCGGCGACCCTCAGGCTGCGCATTCTGCGACCAACTTTAGTCTGCCGCTAAATACACATGGTTCATCACTCCAGCTTCCTGTTGGCAAGCCACCCTTACACAAAACTTTCGGGGAGGTCAACGCTAAGACCAAAAGGTCTTCCCCTTCATAGCTCAACACAAGGACCTGTCGGACGACCCTCACATCTTCACATCTCGTGTGGCTCAAGAAACGGTAGGGTGGCCCTCCCCCCCCCCCACCCCCCCTGGCCTGTTCCAAGTCATTTGCTCAGTGAGGCCCCGGCCAAGTCCCATGGTGGCGAAAGCTTCCTTGGCCGGCCAACGCAAACCACCGGCCATGGCCACCTCTGTCCTCACCCTTTTCTGCTTGTCTGCTGAGTCGATTGGCCGTGTGCAGTGTATGAAATGACCAGAGAGATCGCTGTGGAGGGCCAAAGCAATGTAGATTAATTGCATGACTTATTGTCTTGTCTTGTGCGACTGCCTGTCTGCATGTCACAACAAATCAACACATGACATGGGTCGGGTCATCTGTGGCAGCTTTATGTGTCCGCTGGCTACCAAATTGCTGGCCCAATGCTGTGGCGACGACCGCTAAAGTCACAAACTGCCGACGCCTTGCAGGATCATTGATTTTACTAGGGGCAGGACAGCCCCCATTCGGCAAATTGCCACGAGCGATCCCCTCCCCTCTCAGGGCTTGCATGCGGTGATTTTGTAGTTGATGGCCAGCTGGACAAACACATCACTGAACCTACGTAAGCTCCCTACAGAAGAAACTTCTAATTGCGCACACAGCCCGCATGCCTGGCCAAGCTAGTCTCAAAATGTCTCAAACGTGGCGTCCCCCAATGATTCCCAAACTTAGTGGCGCCACTTCGTCCATCTGCGAGAGAAACATCGACAAAACACTGCAAAGCATCTAAAGAGAAACAAGGCACCTCAGATGGTATTCGAGAGCGTTCTGAGCTTGGGCTCTCGCTCCCAGTCTGCCGCCACCAATGATAACGGCCTCAGCGCATTGCGGGAGAGCCACATGCAAGCATTGTGGTTCTTTGATCCACATGATCGGCCAATGGTGGCCTGCCTGCAATACGAAGCTAACACTCCAAGTGTGCACTGTAATGCATGACTTCCATTCATGTGGGGTTGCAGCTTTCTACCTAGACAAGCACTCTGGATCTGGATTGTAGGGGGCGCGCGCTGGATGGCTGTGCTCGCACCCAGCAAAAATTATGGGGGAATCCAAGTAGAACATGACAAGTCAAAACGCCCCTTTGCTAAACCCTTCCCCCCCTCCCTCTCCCTCCATCCCTCCCTCCCTCTCTCTCTCTCTCTCTCATTGTTGTACCTCTCTGTCTCTCCCTCTCTCAGCGATGGCAAGGAGACACTGGTCCGACGGCCATAAGGACTCTCGGAAAAGCTTTGTGTACCGCTCCAATACTACTTATACGGCTGCAATGGGAGTCATATAGAAAGCATCCAAGGAAGGAGTCCCTGATTGGGGGCTCATATATGAAACCAACAAGCAGCAAGCAAGCATGCGCAAACATTTGCTCTCCTCACCCAACTCTCAGAAACAAACAGGCCGCCCAATGAAGCTTCATCTGAGACAGGTGCTGGTGGGAACGCCTCCGGAGGCGCTGACCTTCAACTGTGATGCGCCAAAGTTCTCTGACGCGCACAACTGCCTGGTGCCCCAAGACACAAACATTTGTTCATTAGACTAAGCCTCTTGTAGTGGCAGAGGGTGCTTGAACACACGGTGTTCTGCTTGCTGAGCGGCTGACATCAGTGGAAACAGAGTGCGAGCTATGTCGGCTAACCAAAAGTCACAAACTTAAACATCCCACTGTCCCACTGTCAAAGTTCATGCTACACAGCTTCCACGTCGAGTCTCATGAGAACCCTGTTTTGGAGGCAGGCTGCAGGGGTGGAAACATCAAGTGCGAGGTTGGTCAAGGCTTCCAACAAATGCACGGTACTCAGACTTACCAAGTCCACCAGCTGATGAATGTATAACTAGAATATCTACACATAAGGTGCCTCTAAAACCATAGGCTTGTTTATTGGTCATGCGCATTTCACTTCCGCAACTGCAAGTGGAGGTATGGTAGAATGTGGTTGGTTTCCGGCGGAAGCCGTGCAAAACTTGACACTTCAGGTTGCCATAATCGTCCACGCCCTCATTGGCTAGGCTCTGCGCCCGCCAGCTGCGGCACCTCCGATGCAATGGCTGACTGGGCTTCAAAAGGCGCCTTCCAGGTGCTGTTCTAGTGCGGGCCCATTCTGAGTGAACACGGTGTATGAAAACTCGGGTGATTCCCCGAGTCCTCTAAATCGACCGGAGGCTGTACTCATTATGTTTTCTGAAGACATACAAACAAGAACTGGGCATGAGGGTATAGCGTTGGATCCTTCGATTGTGGACCCCCCCGTAAATTCCCACGCCGGGTGCTGCTTCACTTGGCAATCAGCGAATTCTGCTGCTCCTTGCAGCTCTATGCGGACATTGCGTCATGGCATTCCTGGCGCATCTAGAGGGAGACGGAGGTGTTTATCAAACTCGTTAAGGATGGGCCCCTCAGCTTTGTCAATCAAAGTCGAGGACCTGGACCTCTCTCTGCAAATGTCAAAAGTCTGCCCAAAGCTACTTCCCACATTTTAAAGCACGGAACGTGTCAAAACCGGCAAGCAAGTAAGCCAAGTCGGGCTGAAACAAAAAAACACGTATGAAACCTTTGTACCCTTGTGTCGCATAGTACTGTTGTCTTCGGCAGCATCGGCTTGCAAATTTTGGGGCTACAAATTGCTAAGTTAACGACTATAAGTCTTTCACGTGGCCGCGTAACACACGGAGGAAAAGCAGGCAGCAGGCAGCGGCGCATAGGCGTGCTTCGTGTGTTTTAAAAGCAGGTTCGGTCGTCAGGAAGGGGAACTCGAAAAGTATATGAAGATAGCAAACCAAAGACAGGGCGTGCCGCTGGGCAGCTGGTTGGATTTGGCAGGCGTGAGTATCGGCTAGGTATCGACTGAGTATCGGTTTATGTATCAGTTCGGCCTGTAAGTTTCCCCTCCGGAACCTTGGTTTGGCAACAGTTGCCTTCACAGCACAGGGTGCAGCTCACAAGAACCAAGAATGTTCGAACCACTTTTGCGTCTTCCTGGCTTCTGGGGGTACACTGTTGTTGTCTCCTCCTCGCTTTGCAATGGGTGTCAACAAGTTAAGGGACTGCTCCTGACACAACGGAAAGGCGCAGGGGTTTTGCTTCGGGAGAACGACGCGCATCGCGCCGTGGCCTCGCCCAGAAAGTCCACGCGCTGAACCTCGCGCTGCAAGCGCCTGGCTGCAGCGCGGCAATGCCGGCAACGCCGGCAACGCATCTGCTTGACGGCTGGGGTGGGACGCTCATAGCTTATGGCAAGTGATCAAGGGAAGGCAAATGCTACAAACTACTGCTTGTTTAGCACATGTTGTTATTGGAAGCAGCGGTTGGACCCACGTTGCGGACCTAAATCTGCATGCCCGACGCAATCCAGCTTCACGGAGAGGTATGGAGTAGCTTTTGGCAAGCCCGTGACACTACTGGCCAAGTGCAACGTGAGAAACAAATACGCCATGATACCAAGTACCAGAAGGCTATTCAAGCATTGGTTGCTTGGCACAGGATTGTCTCCTAGCAGCCGTTGGCAGGGCGCGTGCACTCAGCTGTGAAGCCCAAACGCCTTGCACGCCGCCATGCCGCCTGCAACGACTGCAGGCAGCGATGAGGGCGGCCTCGTGCAAAGACCCGTGGACGGAACAAGCTGTGTTTTGGGCTAGCAAGAGTGGCAGGCCCAAGGAAACCAGGACGTACAACTGATGCCTAAAAGCTTCGGCTGATTTGGTGGCTTTGGGTGGTTGTTGCACAGTGTGGCCCTATCCTCCGTCTTCCAACTTGGCCTTGTGGTAGGTAAATTGAAGGTTTCAATGCATGCTGATTATGCTGATCGTGGACGCCATATGCTGATCGTGGACGCCATCACCAGCAATGACCCTGGGAAATTTATGTATATGAGCAAGGCACAGCTGAAAGCTTAAACTCCGCCAAGTGTGGTTGCATTGGCCAAAAGAAGGCGAGCAATCAAGCAATGCATCAGCTTCGCTGCTTTCTTTGACACCTTCCGCGTCAATCAATCAACCTAATGTATGTTGCAGCTAAACAGCATCCGGGATACCCTCTTAGATTATCCACTTCTCAAAATTTGCAGGTCGTTAACTAATTCCTCCAGTAGAGGGGTTAGCATAAGGGTACCCTTTTTTTCTGCAGTCTACTTTAGTGGGGGAACCCTCCCCCACAAAAGGGTAACAGTTTTAGGGCACTGGGGGACCTAAGTCAAGCGCTCCACGTTCACCTGCAGTCAAGCCTCCGCGGGGAGCTCCGCAACGGCGTCGCGCGCGCGGAGTTTGCCTGGACCTCATGGACGCTTTGCTTCCATGGGAGCATGGCACGCATGGTGCCATCCATGCAGCAAGGGTTCCAAGAAAGTACAACGCTCAAGCGCAACCAGCGTATGGCTGTGTTGGGATCTATATTCAAATGCATTGGTCGAGGGATGTGCCGGGGTATGCCAGGAATCAATCTGAACATCAGGTGCAACAGCCACTGGACCTCGTGTCGAGTGCATGGGAGCTCTCCATATGCTCTTCAAGCACAGCTGGATCCCAGCAAACGCCTACTAGAAATATGTTGAGAAGAAAAATGGCCAGGATAGCTCAGGCCAGGTTCTTGCACCAGCCGTCACCACGTTGGCCCGTGCCCAATTCTCAGTGCCAGGCCAAGTTGGTGGCCCGCACCTAGGCGGCACTTGAATTGTTTTCCCCAATCCCCCATGCCCCCGAATATGCGACCTGCCAATGCCTGGGAAGGCACAAATAGAACATGCAAAGCCTACGTAAAGCCTCAATTCACCACTGACTTGAATCATGAAGCTACATGCCTCACCCCGCGCTTGTGATGCCATTGAGAGCCCTACAGCCGCTATTTCTGTGACCTCTTTGGAAACACAAGGCCAGAAATTGGTTCTGGCCCCACAGGGCTGGGCTTATCTCTTATCTGCCTGTGGAGTTAAGCCATCTGCTGCTTCGTGGGAGAAGTAAATAGAAACACTATGTTTGTAAAAGTGTTCAAGGGCGTTAGCTCAGCGCAACAAGCAGCCACCCGGGTTCATGCCCAGCCCCGTCGCGCCCGATGTGCCAGAGAGGGTGCCGCGCGTCTGCAATCTCTTCCCAAGTGACTCATTTAACAAGGGCCATGGTCTCTGGCAACAGCAACGAAAACCAACGGCCAAACATCAGAGTGATTCTTGTGAAGAAATAAAGGCATAGAGTGCTAAAGCAATTTGAACACGCCTAGGTGACTATCCAAATGAGGCAGCCTGGGCACCCAGACCGGCGCCGGCGCCAAGGCTGCTACAAAGCTAGCCATGCGGCCTAGGTGAGGAGCAAAGGCACTAAGAAGACTTCCACCCGTCCACAACTGCTTGCTGTGAAGAGTGCAAGTTGCACTGTTGCAGGGTCACATGTCACATGTTGCAGGGTCACATGTCACATGTCCCTCCGTTTCTGGTTCCCATTCTTGAGCAAGCAAAAACAAGCAAAGGAAAAGGCCAAGCTCAAAAGGAAACACAACCTAAATCAACATACAATAGGCAAGGCAGCCGGGGCTTGACGATGAAATGTTCAACGCTGCAGCAAGGCATACGGGAGTCAGAATCAAGCCTTGCATTAAAGCGGTCGGCCCAAGACTATGTAGCAAAGAATGAGGACGGCGGCCGCACCTATTTATGGTTGGGACTGTCCCCTGTCCGCTACGAAACTTTACCGAACTTTATCCACCAAGATTTTGATTGTGGCCCACATGAACGGTAAACGGCCAAGACCTGACTGTTGTGCAAAGAAAGGCAAGAACTGGCAAGAACCGCGCCGATTGCAACCCTGTCCTGAGCTACGCTGACTCGTTTTCTGACAAAGCTTTCCGTTGAGTGGCCCGGTGCCCTTGCCCGGTCCGTCGCATGCATACCCGTGCCTCTGGCCCAGCGAAGGCACCCTGGCTACAAGTCAACTGGACTTGAGCCAAAACGCAAGAAGCAGGCAGGATATTTGTTTGGTAGATTAGATCAATTTCATCTTGCTCCCTGGAAGTGCGCAAACACAGGGCCTGCCATTCCCGTGAAGCCCGCTGAACTTGCCAGCCGGAGAGGCACAAACGTCCCAAGTTGCCGCGCATCTAGCATAAGCTGCGTCCTTGTCGCGCAGGTAATGGACACGCTTCATGCGCACCAAACGCCGGATCATGACTCGGGCAGGACTCACACCATCAGGGCGCGCACACGCACGCACACACGCACACGCACACACGCACACACGCACACACGCACACACGCACACACGCGCACACACACACACACATCCTGACATGGATCCGACACCACAGTACTTTCCATGCTAACATGCCAGAACCACCACGCGTGCCAAGGCCCATGTTTCTGGCAAAGCAGCATTTTTCTCATGCAGGCATTGTCAAGTCAGACCTCGGTACACCATCAAGGTGGACAGAACTGAAGGCCGATGCCGCGCGAACCCGCGCTTTTCAAGCGCCGAGTCCAGCCTTCCGTTGGATTCACCCACAAGGAGCCACGGGGTAACCGGTAACAGGAAGCGACAGCCCGTGGTAAACTGACCGATACACCGACATGGCTAAGTGTCAAGCAATCAATGCGGTCCAGGAATGGATGAAGCCCAGCTTCAAAACACTGACTCGTGCTCAGGTTTCGCATTGCCACACGGCACCTGCTAATATTCTAGATTTCCTACTTTGCATTGACCCCCTGCGCTCACATGTGTCATGAACACTTCGCATAACTCTGGTCACGGTCGGTGGTTCCTTCCATCAGGGGCTTCAGCGATCCTTCCTATGACTTTGGCACATGCACAAATTGCAAGGAAGTAAGGGCTTGGCACTGGAGATTTGGGCGGTCCTGCACCGCGGTCAAGTGAGCACACTTGTTCTCTAGGAATAGGACAGCGCCCTTCTACGCAAAATCAATGCCCTTCTTACTTTACCCGATTGTGGCGTGTCTGTGTGCAACCATGGTGCGAGAGGTAAAGCCCCGTCCTTGTGCAAGTCCCCCCCTGACTCCCAGAACCGCCTCGGGCAGGCCGAAGGAAGGACCGGAAATCTTCCTCACTACAAGGGTGCAGGCCAGCACCTTGCTTTTTTGCCCCCCAAGGGCACAAAAAAGCGTCCCCATTGCTTAGCGCCACTCCCATACAACAATCTAATAGATGGAAACACCCCCCAATGTCACCAACTTCATTCTGAGAGCTCGTGTCACGCCTCGTGTGACTTCTGGCGTGGCCAGAATTTCGTGGGCATACCCAAGGCATAGGCCATCGCGCCATTCGAGCAGAAACACTTTTCGACTATCCTTTAAGACTTGCATTCCCATGCAGCGCCATAATACCAAAGTTTTTGCAGCCTTTGTGTGCACCTGTCGTTGCGTGCGCGAGAAGAGCCTCAGCATGTGCACCGAAGTTGCTTGTTCTTCAGCTTGTCAATGCCAGCGCTGGAAGAAAAACATATTAGGCATTCTAGCGAGGTGCGGGTAGGGTTGCCCAAGCGGACTTCAGCACCCTCTCCATGTTTCCAGGCAACAGCCAAAAACAAGTGCATCATGCTACATCAAGAACCTTTAGCTGTTGCACACCGGCGCAACCTGGAGAGCAATACGAAGCGTACCATTTTGAAGTGCTACATATTTAAGTTTCAATACTCAATAAAGAACGACAACCAGTGCAAGTTTGAACATTTACCCAGTTGGCCTGGACATGTCAGCAAAACAAACCTAGTACTAAAAACGAACATATTTCGCCGTGTAGGGCCTGTTGATGAAGTTCATGTCCAATTCAAAGACACATCCTACGGTGCATGTGCTGGGCGGCGGGCCCGTCGTAGACCTCAGCTTGACCAAAACCTTCAGAACATGGGCCCCTTGAAAAGGAAGCTACGTGAGGATGCTCAAGAAAATAGTGACAACAAAACATGTCCAAACCAGGGAGCGCAACGCATTTTCCAGCTATGGCGCAAGCCATTGGATGCTGCTGACCATGCAACCCAAACACATGAACACTTAAATTCGACATGCGGGCAACTAGTATCTTTCCAATGATGTACCTGGCCAAAATATCAGTCACATTCGGCCACGCTGCACCCGGTGAGCAAACACTGAGAGGATCTGCTACAGAATGCGAACACACTCACACACACACACAGGGTGGGTGTGCCAAACGACATTCTAGCATCGGCCGACATGTGGTCTGAAAGGGGGGTTCAGCAACTTTTGGCTTGCCAAAAACAGCAGAAAGGGGCGGGGCAAATCGCTTCTCCCTGGACAGGTTTTACTTGGCGTGCAAAGGGAACTTATCTTTGAAGACAAGCGCAAAAGTCGCTGGCTCCTAGCCTGACCATACGCAACCAAGACTCCTGCTTGAAGCAGCAGGCTCCTGCTGCCCCACGCAAGAACGTCCGGAGATTCTCATGCGAACCACGAGCCAATGATCTGAGGTTGGGGCAATGGCGGCTGGCCACTTGCCGGCCTCACAAATACGCCAGAGCTGTTGAAATGCGGCGGTTTGACCTTCACATGGGTGTCTTGAATCAAGTTGAAGAACTATCTAACCATCTGATCGCAGCATCCCAATCCTTGTCTTCATGCTCCTGGGCACCCAGAATTCGCAAATCTTCGTGCTCGGAACAAGCAAATCACACAGAATTGCTGTATAACCCCACCTCTTCTGGATTTACATGTTTTGTCTGCAAATGCTTGGGTCCACCTCGCCGGCAAGAGGCAAACCCGGCCTTGTGCCGAGTGCGAATGCGCTCCAAATATTTCGCAGTCCTCGGCACAGCCCTTGCAATTGAAGCCTGGAAGTCCAAGTAAAACAAACAAACAAACAAACAAACAAACAAACAAACAAGCAAACACACACACACACACCCACGCGCGCAAACAAACAGCACATACGCAAACAAACAAACAATCCAACAAGCCATCCAGCAAACACACAACGAAAAAGCACACAAAACAGTAACACACACACACAAGCAAGCAAGCAAGCAAGCAAATAAACATTTATCAACAGTACATCAGCTGTGGTGAATGCCGAGCGCTGCTTCCATGAAAATAAGAACTGATGTTATTGTCCTGCATGCATGGTCCAAATCTAGCTTTACCGAAGGGTAGCCAAGTTTGAGACGGATAACTGTGAAGCAAGCACTTGCCGGTTTGCCCGTTCCTTTCCCATTAGCGAATGCGATTGAGCCCAACATCATACATGAGTGAGGATGTGCATTTCACAAACTAAATGCAACCAACACAGGCCACACTCGCCGCTTTTCAACATAGGCGCCACTGTGTGCACCATTGTCTGAGAATAATTACACACACTTTGTGTCCGAGTGCAGATTCCCAATGTGTTCAACACCCAGCGTTGATGGCCAAGACTCATTCTAGTAAAGATGGATTGTGGCAAGGGCCAAAAGTGGCTGCGGAAAGTCGAATGTGCAAACCGGCTGCAAGGCTCTTTGCTCTCAGATGCCCGGCAGATCTGGCTCGACTGCATGGTGCGCCGTCCAATACCTCAGTGGCATCGCATACCAAGAAAAAACGTCAAAGTCGTGTGGTGCAACAGCCAGAGCGTGTGCTATCCAGGTGGCCAGGTCGGAATTTGTGTTGCCTATCGCTGGTTTTTTGCCTCGCGATTCCCTATAGAAAAGCGACACGCCCACGCCTGCGGTCAGCGGGCATGGGTTGTGTAACCCTACCTCGAGCCCAATTGGAGCCCAATGAAGTTGGACAAGAACAGGGATGCCTGGCTTAGGCCTTTGTTGGGTAGGATTTGGTTGCCTTGGCTTGAGCTTACGCTAAGCTGCAAATTGATAGGGAGCTTTTTCAAGGTGGAGATGTTGGTGGAACATGGGTCCGCTCAGTACTGTCTCGGGCCTCTTTGTGTCAGGCTTGAGCTGGCTGTATGTTTGTGCGGCTGCGGCCGCATGATGCAAAATGCAACTCTGTGCAAATTGCAGACCCCAAAGCAAGGGATCCTCGTCTCCAGGCGAGCTTGCCAAACATTGGCAGAACAACGAAGCTCATGCCTATACCGACTGTTGCAAACCAGCCCGGACCAGATTCAGGTGATGCTGTGGATAAACAGGACAAAGGACCGAAAAACAAACACTATCAGTTTCACGTGCAACTCCGTTCGGCCGCAGCCAGCCTTGATACTCCACGAGCCAACAACTGAGGACACTTGCAGGTTCTTCATCTATTGTTTTCGGTCCGCCCAGAGAGGTGGAACCCTTGCGGTACAATATGTTTGACCTGATCTACAATCTGCGGGCCGCTCTTGTCACTTTCTTGCGGGAGAAGATGCTGAATTCTGAGTACCCGGCAAGGCTTGAGGTAAGGTCACCAATGCATCAGGCTACAATCTGCTATGTAGGCTTGCGGGCAGGTCTGGATATCTGCCCTTCCTTCTTGAACAATGCAGAACTGAAAGATTTTGTGCCAAGCACCAACCAAGAACTGACTAAGACTAAGAAAGGGAGGCCAACCGAGAACAAAGCTTGGTGACATGTTGCGCGCGAGTGTGGTTGCTAGAGCGGTTGTCCAGGCCAACGCTATGTTACATGCGCTTGTGTCCGCTGCCGGCCGGGAGATAGGTGTACAAGCTACGTGCGGCCCTCTAAGGATCCTGCACTTTGGGCACGCCATTCAAATACCACCGCTTGTCGCCGCCGATATTTTCGCAGCCTTGGCCGACTCAAACTAGACATCCACCCGGGAGACCAATGTTTCTCCCACAAATTGACACCCCAGGAACAAAGAAAGGACCCAGTACGAATTTGACGATCCCCAACAGGAGTTCAAACCGCCGTCAAGGTCTGACTGCCGAAGCAGCGGTTAGCCATGTACAGAAACCTGAACACACGAGTTGCGAAACGCAAAGCCTCGCGCAAAGAAGCATGCCTGATTTGCAAGCTGAGGATGATTGCTTCAATGGCTCTCGTTGTCAGGGTTCGCATTGACCCCGCGCGACTGGTTAGTTGGCCAATCATGTCCCCTACAATCAAGCCATAAGTTTGCAAGCAATACGGTCAGTCAACCAATAACTAAAACCCCCTGCAACGAGCGAATTCTCTGGGCACCCGGGCCGATGCCATGGATGCAGCGGTGGCCATCACTTGACTTCCAGGAAAGCAAGGACTCGAACTCGACGGTGGCCTTGGCCACACATCCACGTCTTTCTCGGGCCGGACATGGAGGAAAGAGAGCTGCTTGAAATGATGCGCATCTTGCTCTGGACATGGGAAAACAAATGATTGGAAGTTTAGCGATTGAACAGTAAGGTGACTGCGTTGGTTGCAATGCCATCGGTGAAAGGAAAAGAGCCATTTCGGCAAGTGTCCTTGAAAAAACGCATGGAGTGGCCCATGTGCCATTCCACCATTGTGGCCAATACGCCGGAAAGCAACAAGAACTCCAGGGCCTGAATGTATTTGAGTGGTTCAGTCTCCCCCTGTGCTTGACTTCAAGTATGAGCCAAACCTCTCAGAAACCTCTCAGTTGTACAACGTGTTAACAACAGACCCAGAAGCAGGGATAAACACCATGAATTCTGGAGGTTGAATCCCCATTTTGTTTGCCCAACTACTGCTGCCAGCGACCAAACAACTTCTCTGATTGCTTGTTGAAAGAAGGATCCCATGGTGGAGGCACAGCATGAATGATTTGTCCAGTCGACGTGCCAGCGAGCCCGGCAAGAACCTCGCCCTTCCGGTGAAGATTCAAAAGCCGTTTCTGAGTGCTAGGGTGTCCGAACAAGCAACAACAACATATCCTTCTTACTTTCCTTAGGCGAATTCACAGGTGTCTGCTTTTCTCACCCCAAGTAAAAACACTCAATACGTGTCTGAGTCGACTTTCGGAGTTTCCTCGCATGTTTTCGACCCTCTGAGCAGATCTCAGCACCGCGCTGGGACATCAAATTTGCACCATTGCTTGTTGGCACGCTCCTCCCACAAAGCAACCTCAGCGCATTGGATTTGACATGATTTGAGTTGCTGGGCATTGGAGTCTGACTATACTTATACTTACGTACTCCAGAAGCACATTGCAGGGAAAACATGTGCCAGTCGTGCCACCGTAGCCGAAGTGCTGAAGGCTTGCCGTCGCCAAAGGAATTTCATTCCGCCGCACATGCCGCCCCAATCCAGCCCGATGCTCCTTCCAAACACACGCCTGCACAAATACTACCTGCTCTGGGCGCTTTGCACGATCTTGTGCTAGTTCAACAACCCTGGAGAAAGGGCATGGCAACATCATAAGGCTGATCGCCCTCAGTAAGGTCTGGCCTTTCAAGTTTCACACTCCAGCGAGGTTTAGCCAACCAGAAACAGGCCAAGCTTCGACTTGCTCTCTACTGAAGCTGGACAACTGCACCCATGACCAAGTTACTCCACAACTTCTCCAAACTCAACCCGATGCAACCTCACGCACTCCCACCCACACCCACACCACATCCACCACCTACGTTCACGCCCGCTCTCACATGCCGAAACAGAAACAATATAGATCAGAGCGGAGAGCTTACCAATCAAGCTGAAAAGCAAGGACATGCTATCCTTGCAATATCCTTGCAAGTCCAGGTGCAAGTCCAGGTACAAGCTAAGGGCGAGTCATTGAGCAAATCCTCATCCTCCATCACATCGCCGACCTTCCGGCGCAACCAGTCTGACGATGTCTGACGAGCTAAATCGAAGCTTGACATATTTGCACCAACAGAGCCCCCCCCAATGGCTGGAGTCCAGTTGGTTTCCTTACCGAGGCGCCACACAAGGCTCTTACGGAACAACATGGACATACACAATTGATCAAACAGCAGCCATAGAGCATGTTCCTTTCTCACAACATTTCCATGTGCAGGCAAACCAGCCGGCAGTTCCTGTGTGTTGAGTAAGGAAACCATTGTTGGGAACCTTGTTGGCACCAAAACAACCACTAACCACCGCAGTACCCCCCAAGCAATGTTTTTGGGATGTCGGACACTCAAGTCAGAATGCGAATGGCATTCTGCATGCCAAGGCTTGCACGACCCATCCCAACCCCTGCCATCTGACTGGAGGCAACACGCAGACATCAAACCTATCTGCGATCCAGCGTGCCACCGCATTTGGCAACCCAACCCAGAGATCCATTAAAGGTGCCCTCTCCTTACCAGGTGTCGAATGCTCACTTGCTCACCGTAGCTTGCAACATGAGCACTTGCTTTACTCCTTCATGATGAAGACCTGAACGTGCTTCTTGGAACCCATTCAAGCAAGGGTTGCGGCTAGAGTCAAAGCGCTTGCTCAAGGATATGCCAGCCACTTGTGTACGAACATCATCCCCTGGCAGCCTCATTGAAAAACCATGAATCAGACTTCGCTTCAGCCAAATTTGTCGCCGACCATCGGCCATCCCGACCGCACCACCCCCACCACCCCCACCACCCCATGCTGCCAAAGCGCCCGAAGAGCTGCAGCCTGGAAGCCTTGCACCTGGCTTTGTAAGCGCGGTCAGTGCCTGGAGTTCTTTCGGATCCATCGGGTTCCCACAAAAGACACAGCCACAGGTGTCCTTTTAGGGCGGTGGCTGGCCCTGGTAGAGGATTAAACCACCAGGGAAACCAGGAATGGCCATCTATTTTTCGACCAAAACAACCAAAAAGGACACCTATGGACAGAGCCCATTCGAAATCCGCTAGTGAATTCGTTGTGTTTGCAATATGGCCAAGATCTCGCATCCTTTAAGCAACGGGGATGGTGTGCCCATTGCCGGCCTTGGGCCGGCCAGGCGGAAACCTTGCACACATCCTGCCCAGTCTAGTGACATCAATTGAGAAACTCGACATGCGCAGTGGCAGGTCTTATGCTGTTATGCAGAAATCAGACTCCGACTCTCATTTCAAACGCAGCCTGGAATGCTCTGCAAATAGGCTATCCGACTATCGCGCCTTGAACGTGAGCCATTGGAACTGGACTTGTTGCATACATGGAATTTGCATAGCAACAAGAGGTGACTTGTGAGTGAAAAACATGTCTTTTAAGAAGGACCCCCCCCCCCCGCTACAAGCTCGTGGCTTTTTCATGAAATGCTCCTCGACTCGATGCAGCACCCTGAACAACCATGTGGTCAGATTCCAGTTCCCGAGTCCTTAAGTTACTTCCCACTCTTGCCACAGCATTCCTCTAACCCGGAAACTCCCGTCAGCGCCAGAACAAATGAAACGTCGACGGGCCGGCCGTGACGTTCGGCAGCCGCTCGTCGCGGAAGTGCCGGCCTTGGGGTGGCATGCCTGGAGTGTGAAGGGTGCTTACAGCAAGGTCGGTCAAGGCAAAACTCTTGATCTGCACCCATTCGACTTGCAGCAGGGCATGCTTTGTTTGTACCCATGCAAAGGGACATATTAACATCATGAACCATGCATGTAATTACATTCAGTGCTTTGCTGGGCGTGCACCAGCAACGAGCATGCAGCGCAGCTCGCACTGCAACCTCACCGTCCCGAAGCCGACCTTTAGACCTTTTTGGGCCCAGCCCTTGTATAGTGCCGTCAGGCAAGGGAGGGTTATTCCTTGCGTAGGGTAAGCACCATGCAGCGAAGCACGGAAAACAGGCAAGCGCGAATCGCTGTTTTCCCTCCCACAAAACAAGCAAACATTATGCCCCTGACTTCGCAGTTGGCCGTTGTGTCCAAAGGATGTTAAAGGTAACATAGGTAACCAAAGTTCGAGCTCGTACTTCTCAACTGCATGCAGTGTAAACAATTCGCACTCGAAAGGGCAATGCCGCCACAGATTGAGAGTTGCCCCATCTTTCCCTGCCATGGACCAAACAATTCCGATGAGCTGCGCGGTAACTCGCCTCAGGTTGCCACAAGAGCTATGAGATGCACTGAGCGCCCTTGTGCGTTTCAAGCTCCCGGCCCCAGCAAACCGCACTGGAAGTGAGCTTCCAGCAGCTAGGCCCTCGCGCGTACCCAGCGCCCAAAGAAAGGCAAGGCCTGAAGTCGCGTGCGAAGCCGGCCATGAAATCCCACAAGCGCCCTGCGCGTCCAGGCAAGCGACTACTGGGCCGAACAAACGGATAAAAGGGGAAGCAACTTCTTTGTTGCCTTGATCAGAGATCGGTGCAATTTTCTGTTGCAACCGAGTAAGCAGAATACTTCTCCCATGACTTTCTGTTGCACAGGAGGAAGGATGCACTTATTCGTACACCCCCCCCCCAAAAAAAAAACAAAAAACAACACCATCAAATGGCTAAAACGACAGACAAAGAACATGGCTCGGCAACAACCCAACTGCGGCACCACGTGCCCTTCAAAGAAAAAACACAACACGAGTCAGTTCCGTCCCTTGACCCATTGCAAGACTTCCATGGTTCACTTCCCATCAGGGTGCAGCCTTAACCGCGTAGAGGTCAAACAACGAGCATCCACAGCCCGGGGCTCGAGAAAGGTTTGGGACGAGGCAGCGGCCCAATAGCTCCACGTGGGATGTGCGTGGGCCCACCGCATGGTCCTTAGCCCGAAGCCCCGCTGGGTGCTGACAAGGATGGCTCGGGATCGTGTTGAAAACATCAGCCCAGAAGACCCATTGGCAGATCGGACCTTAGGTGAGATTTTTATTTAGCTGTGGTTCACCACCTCCCCCCCGCCCGCAAGCAAACAAACCACTCCACTACATCTAAGGAGTCCCGTCGACAAGCCAGCGTCAGCTCAGAAACAAAAGGGCTTGCAAAGCAAAGCACCCAGCCACCCATAGCACCAGCACCTGCAAGCTCAGATGCGGGCTGCATCGGACAAGGCTTCTCTGGGTCGGGGCAATATCTCCTTAGTGAGCGCTTTCGGCTAGGTCGTACAAGTCTAGCGGTGGCCAAGTCCTACTTACCATTTTGCTAAACGCCTCAAGCCTGGTAACTTCCTGTTCGTGCAGCGAAGCAATTGCACACAATGCGGGCCTCAACCATGCGTCACTTCCAGTATGCGAGGGAGAAGCTAGCTCGAGGGCTCAAAAGAACAGTATCCAACCACACCTTCTCCACAGACACTTGTTACTCAGTGGCCTTCATCCTCTAGCCCAAAAACATGATTTTAGTAATCTTGGCTGAGAACAAACAATCTGATGTCACGCGGTGATCAAATCTGCCAGGTGCACCACAGCAAGCCCCGTGACTCTTGGGGCACGGCGGCCACCAAGGAGCATTTGGCTGGTCCTGCAATGCATGCCAACCACACCATGTCAAACCGGGAGACCGACTCACCCAAGTGAGCTTTTCTGCGGACCAAAAACAGCGGCTGCAAGCCTTCCGTCATGCTTATGTGAACTGATTGGACCACAAGGCCGGCACAAAGTGGAACATCATCTAGCAATTTGCCAAACTGTCAGAGCATGCCAAGACGCCAAAACGCCAAGATTCCTCTGCTTCCTTGACTTAAAACCGTTCCCGTTGTCCCCTGAACGTGAGGCAGAAAGCAGGCCACGCACTTGCTCGCCCCATTTGCCAAGGCAAGCTGACGCTGCAATGCAGGGCCCCCAGTAAACCCCATGCTCTAAATTGGGGCGGGCCACATAGATGTATAATGGAAGTAAAATTGTGGGCATGTGTTTCACTACATGCAGCGTGACCTGCTGAAACAACATCTCCTTAATGCTCCAGTCCAAGAAGTGCGCAGGTAGAAGCGGGAAGGGATACTCCTGCGATGGCAATGGGCCCCTCCAGCGAGCGGCAGGCCACCATGAATTGACCAAACACTTGCCACCGGCGCGCCCGCTTGATCATGCCACCAAGCCGCACGGGTGTATTTCCTCCTTAGGCTGGAGCATTCTTTCCACCAAAGCTGGCGGCACAACGGGAGGTTGGTTTTACGCAGCTAAAGGATATATGTGTAGCAGTTTGGCCTACGGGAAGCTCCAACTATTTTGACACAACGGGAAGCTCCAGGTTTGCATATGAGAAGTCTCTGCCCAGCTCATCTTAGCCTGCGGAAAGCCACGTTTAGCCCAGCTAGCTGCAAGCTGAGATTGGCAAAAGGGAAGTTACAGCAGGTTTGGACACTAAAAGTTAGTCTAGCATTGTTCATGGTGTCCTCCATTTTTCTGTTGGAACCAACAGTGGCAGTTTTACTGGAAACTAGTAAATTGTAATTGTTGAATGGGATATCCAGGGACCCTTGATCCTGGTGTGCTGCACGGGACACTCAACGTTTAGGGTTGTCACTGGGCTTAAGGAGTAAAGGGAGGTGTATGGTTGTGCCGGCACCGTGTGGGGACCCTTCTGCGGCCCGGGCTGCACCTAGGAACAAACATGAAAGCACCCAGGAACCCAGTCCAGCAAAAGACCTTCTGGCAAAAGGCTTGTGCCACCCAGTGTGCTCTGAGATCTGGGAGGCCCAAACTCAAAGCCCACTATCCTCTAAGATATCCAGTATATTCGATCCAGCGGTGCAGCTCCTTGTTGACCCACTTCTGCGTGAGGTCAAACAGGATGTCGGCTCCTGGGAATCGAAGAAGTCACGCCAAGATGCGATAAACAACAATCATGACACAAGGGTTGCCTGGAAGTATTTGCCTCCCACCCACTGGAAAAGCAGGCCACCTGCAAAGGAGTGCGTTTGCTATGTTGTTTGTTGGGGGGCTTCCGTCAACTCTGTCAATGTTGACAACAACAGTTCAACAAGTTACAACATCGAAAGCGCGACCCAAAAGGCCCGGGGGTTGTGCAACACACTCGGAGCCACAAGTGGCCAGCATATTTTCTTGAACCAGTGAGGGAGGGGAGATATAGAAATGGAGAGATTGTGCGCCCGTGTTTGTCAGGAATTCTACTAGCCCCCAAAGGCGCTGCTCGCCTTGGGCCTAGGCCCTTGTCAGAAGCTGCTGCTGGGCTCCATTCAAAAATGCCGCTCCTGGCGCCACAAACTGATCCACATCCACTTGCACCCCGGTGAGTACCTGGGCAAAGGAGTTGGCTTGACGAGGTCAAGCCACACGTAGCCAGTTTGCGGAGGCCCCCTGCATTTACCTTTGGTGCAAGCGTGTGTTTCCAGCGTTGCCAACGGAGAGAGCAAGTTTCTGACTAGCAAGGTTGCATGGGTGCTGCGTAATTAGAGCAAGCCGCGCCGGGGGGCAGTTCCAGTGAGTTCATGAATTCAGTGTTCAAAGTGCTCGCTCCATGTGACCCGTTGCCCATGTGATCGTCCTTGCCGCAAAAAACCCTGGTTTGATTGGAGGAACCTCAGCCCTCGATTGGATGTCCAGGGTGGGTGAGGCACGCACCCTGAAACCTCAGTGCCCTGCCCTGGCCATCAGGATGGAGCGAAGCTTGTTGAAGTTGAAGCTCCTGAACCGAGAAACGGTCCCCCCCCTTTTGACTTGCAGGGTACCCCCGCCACGGGAACGTGTTCGACCAAACCAGCAACCCCTGCCATGAACTGCCGGCTCTGACTGGTGGCTCTGAAAGGTATGGACAAGCACAGGAGGCTTCCCCTGATATGTCAAGGCCATAGGTTCGATTCCCGATCCGCTGACTCCTTCGAATGTGAGGGTCTGATGGCAAAGGCGCGGCATGTATTATCACCTCACGCACCGCGCAGCTTCTCAATGGAGTGCGAACGCCGGCGGGGGCACGGTGTGCAGCAAGCGTGCTGTAGAGATCTGGTCGAAACTCTGCGAGTGCGAGCGAACTAATTACAAAGCTTTATCCTTGAGTCAATGGGAGTTCGGGCATCTACCCAGCCTACCTGGCTTAGGTGCGGCTGACAACCAGCCGTGTAAACTCCGGAAACCTGCCAACCACAAAGAGTCCAAAGCTCGCAAAGAAAACGGACCCTCTCCAAGGTGAGGCTGTCTCAATTTCCACTCCAGTTCTGTAATGCAGCAGGGCTGGTTCGTTCAAGTGACATCTTCAAATTTATCCTCTAAGTAGTGGGTCAAAGGGGGAACCACCCCCAAAAGCTGTTTTGAAAAACATAGCCGTGACATAAGCCCTGCTAGTCTAGCTTCCTTGTAGCCGTGCACGGGGTTTCTCTGTGAACCCCTACATCTCCAACAAATAAGCACAGCAGGACTGGATCCATGTTGAAAAAAACGTGTTGGGTTTCAGTCGCACGGGGCTCATCCACATTTCGATTCAACACGAAGTCGGGCCCCCGTGCCAGCTGCGGGAACCGCTCCGGCGTCCAGGTCTCCGGGGCCGCGAAGCCGAAGTTGTACACGAGGATCGGCCAGGACCTAGTCCCACAGCCCGAAAAAACCTCCCGCAGTTTGGCTGAGCACCAGCACCCTTCAGTCAAGAGGCGAGGCAAACCGAGGCGCGCAAAGGAACAAAAACAGCACGCAAGCTGAACAAGCGGAGAAGCAACCGAGGCACATCAAGAATCTGACCTAGCGCGATCAAACCTTCATACAACAAGGTGAGTGGTAAGAATATTGCGTGATCGTGGTCCAGCCTGGTGTGGAGCATGGCGATGTGAGTTTTGAGCCCGGATGAGCCCGGCAAAAGTGGGGACCAAAGCGCAACTTCTGGGCCCCTCGGCCTCTACCAGTGTCAATCGTTGCGTCCATTTTAAGGGGAGGAATACAAGTGGATATGAGTAAACAGTTCATAGCATGACATGGGAGCAGAAAAGAACCGCACAAAGTGTGCCCATCGGCATGACCACATGAAACGCATGAATTCGCCTTCAGGCCCACCCTGCAAGTTGAAAAGGCTTGACTTCGCTGAGGGTGGCGCGAGAAATAGTGCACCGACTTGATAAGCTCCTGGTGAGAATGGTGAACCGTGCCCTAAGCCTGGCCTGCCTGGGACATGTCTCTGTTTATGCGTGTTTTCTGTGCGATGTCTGCGGGTGCATCTGTGTCTGTGTTTGAACTGTGCGTGTATGTGTTTCTGTGTTTGTGTGTGTGCGCCGGCTTGTCGGCTTGTGTGTGTGTGCGTCTAAGTATCTGCGTGGGTCTGTCCAAAGTCTGAGGAGTCTTGTTTTTTTTTTTAGTGTGTGTGTGTCTACTTGCATGTGTGTGTCTGTGTGGGCGGTTGGGTGCATCTGTGCGGCCGCTACAGTTTTGTGTAAGTTGTTCTGCGCGCTCGCGTGCGTTTATGGGCCAAGCAAAAAGACTTGGCCCACCTCTTGCCACTCAATGTTAGTGGCGAAGCTATAATTAAGACACGTTCCTGCAGCCGACTCTGCATGGCCTTGCATCAAACACATGGCCCCATGCCATGGCCCAAATGGCCTAAACACACCCATGCATCCATACGCGCCAGGAAAACCAAACCTGGTCCATCTCACAGACTCAGCCAGTTCAGCCCAGTAGCATTGGACAAGATCAAGCCCTACAGCCCTAGGTTGCCCTGCCAATCACGAACCGTTGATGACAACAGGATCTTCAACCTGTCAAGTCACTGGCACAAATCCATCCACGTCCATCCCCTGCCTCTGCCATCTTGACGAAGGGGCTTGATGGATTGCCGGCCACGAATGTCACCCAGGCGTGCCTCCCAGTCTGCCACAGCCAAACTCCAGCATGTGAGTTGCGTGTTTGCATTCACTTTAGCTGCAAGATACACAGCCACTCAAGGACAACCCAAAGTAAGAATGCTGCACAGCCAACATCTTGAATTCAGCAACTTTACGAAAGAGAGGCCTGGTGCCAGTCAGACTCAAGTTCGGAGCAACGTCCCCATGCACCACAACCAGTGGAATTGCCAAAGCAAACAACTGCTTGTTGGATGCTTGCCAAAGACACACCCACACACGTCTTGCTTTTCTTGCTTGTCTGGGAGCCATTTTTCATTGAGCCACAGCCTTGCCACATATCAGCTGGCGCGACTCGCCTGAACCAACCCTTCTCCGTGAACCGTGCCATTGAAGATTTGAAGCGTGCGTCCACTCGAGCACCTGGACCGGCGACTCGGATGGAAGCCTGTAGTCTGCGAGGGCCCTCCAATTTGGCCAAGACTTTGGCGCAGCCACATGTTGCAAGAAGGAGCCGGCTTGCTTTTTGCGGGGTGTCTGAACAACTCCACGCGGAATGCAAGCCAAACGTGGCTTGAGACTTCATATCCGAATTCTGCCCGCCAAAACATGCAAAAAATCCAAGGTTGAGTGCCAGAAAGTCATGCTCGAACAACTGCCGGTCCTAGAGCTCACCTCAAATTCCGCTGGCACCTTTGCACAGGTCCACACGCCACCATGCAGCAGCTCTGGTCCCACGGCGCACGGCCATGTACCCTTCATGTATGTGGCCCCTGGCATATGCCTCATGTTCAAACGTATGGACACACAGACTATATACACATCTGCATATGTAAATAATATATACACATATACATGTACACCCATAAGTCGATACTACACATTGTAGTCCAGATTTATGTACAAATATACATATATATATATATATCTCTGTCTGGAGGCAAGCTTGCTGCATGATAAGCGTGTGCACCCAGGCTTGCCAGTCCTAAACATAGCTGACTCAACTTGATTGAGACCAGCACGCCCAACCGCCAAGCAGTACCAGTCAGCAACCGAGGGTCCAAATTGGTTGAAACAGCCGGCAGTGGAAGCACCAACGTACCGCAGGAGAATCAGGAACAAAACAAACGATTGCTGTGCTCCAGCTGCAGCCAAAAGAGGAACTCACAGGTTGATGCAGTTTCCGTGGCTCAGAAACCCGTACTAAAATGGCACCTTGGTAAATGGAACCAAAGACTAAAACCTGCGTAACCCTACCTCCTAAATTTTGAGCCACACCCAAGTGAGGCTACCTGGAAACATCCCAGGGCTTCCGGCGCATGAGATGCTGCCGCATCTCCAGGCTGATTTCCCGGGGGCCTGCCTGCCGTCGCCGGTCGGATCTTCCGAGTGGTGGTGAAAAATGAGAAACCCTTCTCACGAATGCAGACAAAGCCAACTGTGTGCTTTCCTCTTTCTTTCTTTTTGCGGGTGGGGGGGTTGGTCACTTTTGGCGAGAAACCCAGCTGAAACGAAAAAGCAAAGTGGCGCCACCACCTCCGCACCGAATTGATCACATCGCCAAACGCCGCGGGCCTTGAGCGAGCGATTGAAGCGGGTCTTCTCCTCCCACGCCTGCGGGACAGCTCACAGCCACCGGCTGCCTAGACGCAGCAAACGGAAACAACAAATCCAAAAGGCAAATGACATCAAATGACTATGGAAAGAATACCACAAGGTGAGCTAACTGAATGTTGCGATTCAAGTGCCTGCAAACATCAAGGGATAGTGGGGCAAGCTGAACCTTTCACCACCAAGCTTCATCGCGGAAAGTTTCGCCAAAGATTTGGACAAAACTCACTGAGGTGTTCCGGAGCTTTGCATCCTACAAAAGGTGCCATGATCTGATGGGCGCCCTGTTGCCCCACAAATGCTTCTGAAAAATGTCCGTGTGACACACCAAGAGTTCATGAGTCCACGATTGTCCAACTCAACGTCCTGCTTCAGTTGCTGTTGGCCAGCATTGACAAGCAATGACATCATGAGTTGCAAAAGCCAGGTACGCCGTCTGACCTACATAGCAATCACAGCATTCCCCCGTCCACCTGCCCGCTGTGCCCCCGGGCGGCTGAGCAAAGGCCCTCCACCGCAAGCCACTGCGCAAGGTCGGCAGGCCTCAGCTCAGTTTGCCAACCGAAAAGCAAAACAAACAAAGCCGTCCTTCTTTGGAAGGCTGTTTTGGTGGCGGTAGCTACAAACATCTCAAACTTCGCTTCTAACAGTGGGGGGCACAGTTCTAAGGCATAGAGGTGACCAGGATATCCCAATGTTGCTGGTTTCATCAGCTGCACGCATGGGCGCCAAGGCAGCCAGCAATCCGCCCAAATGTGTGTTTGACAGGTTTTCACAACCTGACAATAGGGGATCACCACGGGTGAGTTCATTTTGTTTGGGCCAAGCCCGACGTTCAGCAGCGGTATGCTATCTTCCTTCTGGAGCGAAAATGTCGGTGAGCCGTTCAGACCGCACACAGCGATTCCGGTTCCCTGTCCAGCACCTGGTCAGCTCGAAGCCATTTCCCCTTCATTTCCCCTTCATTTCTCCTTCATGTCCCCTTCATGTCTCCTTCTATGCTATTATCGTGTTTTCTCCGTTTTCCTATCGATGTTATTGATTCATGCTTCTCTTCATTTCCCCTTCATTTCTCCTTCATTTCCCCTTCATGTCTCCTTCTATGCTATTATCGTGTTTTCTCCGTTTTCCTATCGATGTTATTGATTCATGCTTCTCTTCATTTCCCCTTCATTTCTCCTTCATTTCCCCTTCATGTCTCCTTCTATGCTATTATCGTGTTTTCTCCGTTTTCCTATCGATGTTATTGATTCATGCTTCTCTTCATTTCCCCTTCATTTCTCCTTCATTTCCCCTTCATGTCTCCTTCTATGCTATTATCGTGTTTTCTCCGTTTTCCTATCGATGTTATTGATTCATGCTTCTCTTCATTTCCCCTTCATTTCTCCTTCATTTCCCCTTCATGTCTCCTTCTATGCTATTATCGTGTTTTCTCCGTTGTCCTATCGATGTTATTGATTCATGCTTCTCTTCATTTCCCCTTCATGTCTCCTTCTATGCTATTATCGTGTTTTCTCCGTTTTCCTATCGATGTTATTGATTCATGCTTCTCTTCGTTTCCCCTTCATTTCTCCTTCATTTCCCCTTCATGTCTCCTTCTATGCTATTATCGTGAATTCTCCGTTTTCCTATCGATGTTATTGATTCATGCTTCTCTTCATTTCCCCTTCATTTCTCCTTCATTTCCCCTTCATTTCTCCTTCATTTCCCCTTCATGTCTCCTTCTATGCTATTATCGTGTTTTCTCCGTTTTCCTATCGATGTTATTGATTCATGCTTCTCTTCATTTCCCCTTCATTTCTCCTTCATTTCCCCTTCATTTCTCCTTCATTTCCCCTTCATGTCTCCTTCTATGCTATTATCGTGAATTCTCCGTTTTCCTATCGATGTTATTGATTCATGCTTCTCTTCATTTCTTTGTTTCTCCTTCATTTCCCCTTCATTTCTCCATCATTTCCCCCTTCATGTCTCCTTCATATGCTATTATCGTGTTTTCTCCGTTTTCCTATCGATGTTATTGATTCATGCTTCTCTTCATTTCCCCTTCATTTCTCCTTCATTTCCCCTTCATTTCTCCTTCATTTCCCCTTCATTTCTCCTTCATTTCCCCTTCATGTCTCCTTCTATGCTATTATCGTGCTTTCTCCGTTTTCCTATCGATGTTATTGATTCATGCTTCTCTTCATTTCCCCTTCATTTCTCCTTCATTTCCCCTTCATGTCTCCTTCTATGCTATTATCGTGTTTTCTCCGTTGTCCTATCGATGTTATTGATTCATGCTTCTCTTCATTTCCCCTTCATGTCTCCTTCTATGCTATTATCGTGTTTTCTCCGTTTTCCTATCGATGTTATTGATTCATGCTTCTCTTCGTTTCCCCTTCATTTCTCCTTCATTTCCCCTTCATGTCTCCTTCTATGCTATTATCGTGAATTCTCCGTTTTCCTATCGATGTTATTGATTCATGCTTCTCTTCATTTCCCCTTCATTTCTCCTTCATTTCCCCTTCATTTCTCCTTCATTTCCCCTTCATTTCTCCTTCATTTCCCCTTCATGTCTCCTTCTATGCTATTATCGTGTTTTCTGCGTTTTCCTATCGATGTTATTGATTCATGCTTCTCTTCATTTCCCCTTCATTTCTCCTTCATTTCCCCTTCATTTCTCCTTCATTTCCCCTTCATGTCTCCTTCTATGCTATTATCGTGTTTTCTCCGTTTTCCTATCGATGTTATTGATTCATGCTTCTCTTCATTTCCCCTTCATTTCTCCTTCATTTCCCCTTCATTTCTCCTTCATTTCCCCTTCATGTCTCCTTCATTTCCCCTTCATGTCTCCTTCTATGCTATTATCGTGTTTTCTCCGTTTTCCTATCGATGTTATTGATTCATGTTTCTCTTCATTTCCCCTTCATTTCTCCTTCATTTCCCCTTCATTTCTCCTTCATTTCCCCTTCATGTCTCCTTCTATGCTATTATCGTGTTTTCTCCGTTTTCCTATCGATGTTATTGATTCATGCTTCTCTTCATTTCCCCTTCATTTCTCCTTCATTTCCCCTTCATGTCTCCTTCTATGCTATTATCGTGTTTTCTCCGTTTTCCTATCGATGTTATTGATTCATGCTTCTCTTCATTTCCCCTTCATTTCTCCTTCCTTCATTTCCCCCTTCATTTCTCCTTCATTTTTGCTTCATGTCTCCTTCTATGCTATTATCGTGTTTTCTCCGTTTTCCTATCGATGTTATTGATTCATGCTTCTCTTCATTTCCCTTCATTTCTCCTTCATTTCCCCTTCATTTCTCCTTCATTTCCCCTTCATGTCTCCTTCTATGCTATTATCGTGTTTTCTCCGTTTTCCTATCGATGTTATTGATTCATGCTTCTCTTCATTTCCCCTTCATTTCTCCTTCATTTCCCCTTCATTTCTCCTTCGTTTCCCCTTCATGTCTCCTTCTATGCTATTATCGTGTTTTCTCCGTTTTCCTATCGATGTTATTGATTCATGCTTCTCTTCATTTCCCCTTCATTTCTCCTTCATTTCCCCTTCATGTCTCCTTCTATGCTATTATCGTGTTTTCTCCGTTTTCCTATCGATGTTATTTCTTGATGCTTCTCTTCATTTCCCCTTCATCTTCCCTTCATTTCCCCTTCATCCTCCCTTCCAGAAGAGCATTCATGGTTGTTCTGTCGTTACATCCTCAGGATGCACTTCGTGGCGCTTTCTGCAGAACAGCAGCACAGCATCCAAAGGGCCGCCGTGCGATCAACCATGCAGCTCCCAAACCAAACGCTCTCCTTCTCAGATCCCCTCTTTAGATCACACACGGAAAAAGAACCAGATACCCCACGCCATCCCACGCCTGTTGCTGTCCAGCGGCTGGTTCTTGCGAGCTTCGAAGAAGAGCTCACAAGAGGCCACCACCGTCGCCCCCAGGTGGTCCGCATCCTCCTCTCAGCAGGGACTCGGGACGGCCCAAAGAAGGCCACAAGTGGCGCTTGGGATTCCCATTCCTATAGACGCCGTCTGGCAAGAGTCAACCAAACATGGCCAGCCCATAGCTTTCAAATTTCAGCCAAAATCTAAGCTTGAAGCTACAAATGGTCAGCTCGCAGCGTCGTCATTCCAGTCCTATAGCGCGGACATTGCAACTTGCCTTTTCGCAAACTTATGACTCATCTGACAAGTCCTAGAAGTTGCACATATGAATGCCAGGTATGCAAACCTCGACTTGTGGGTGAATTTGCCTAAGACGTAGTCCATGACTCTGCGTGCTGGTCGTGTGGCTCCTGGTCCATGATCATGGGGTTCAAGTTCTTGTAGAGCTCGGTTCCTGCACCGATGCCACCATGCGACGCGTTTCCATAACAAACATGTCCACATGCAAACGGAAGCTGAGCAAAAGCCCAGAAGCTGCCTTCTGGATAGATATGCTTCAAATCTCCTTTTCGGATTTGACCAACTTGCTCACAAACGACAAGCAGTCCCCGCTGTCCCTGTTGTGAGGCTACATTGCTTGTCAACCTACCAGCTGATGAACATTCCTTTGGGTGATTCTTGGGACTTTGGACGTTACACATTGTTCGGGGCAGTTTTGTGAGTTCATAAAAGTGACATCCTCCAAGTTACCCTCTCAACCGTGGTTCGTAGGGGAAACCCCTCGAAGCGATTTGGAGAACACAGACCCAGGTTCCCCTCCCGCCACCGCCATGACCAACCCTGCCTGGAGTAACCAAACACTCGCAGTGCTTGCCGTCGTCTCCAGGAACCACATCCGGCAAGTGGTCGATACTGCACCTTGGCTTCTGCGCAAAAAGTGACCAAGCCCCTGTAGCTGCCAGCCATGAATGCTCCTCTGCACATTGACGAAGGATCCCCCAAACGTGGTCCTTCGCAGCTCTTCGCTTGGGTCGAGGGCCACCTCAGAACCTCAGAACCTCAGCGCTATGTGCCGTCCAGCTGCGTCACAGTATTGATTTCACCTTTGGCGTGCAAGGAGCCGGGTGGCAACACTGGCTGATAAGGAAGCTTCTGCCCCCACCAATGCAGGTCGGCTCTCGCTTGGGCCCACTACGCAGAACCAAAGGAAAGCTGGGTGGCCAACAGGGTGTTGCCATGTGGCTAAGCATGGCCTCTCAAGCTAAATCTAACTCCACGGCGTGGTTTAAACAAAGAAATGGCATTGCTGATGGATAGCTGCAGGCTTAAACGCAGTCAATCATGCAAGTAGAACTTCGGCTTTGGGGGGGCAGCATGTGGAAACCAAAGCCTCAGAGTTCTGCCCTTGAATTTGGATCCGCAGATCAATGGCACAGATATCAATATCGACATTTTTATATATGTCGGAGTAAATGCGTCTATCTGCAATATGTCTGAAGATGCAAATGCCAGGTGCAGAACAACATCGCGACATGCTGACATGGGACTGCCTGGCTTCGCCTGAATGACGTGCCAGGTCTCCTCGTTGCCCCAGCGAATGTCGCCTGTGACTGGCTACGGAAAAGGGGGCCATGTTGGCGAACTGGAGAACAGGTTGGCCAGGTTTGCTAAAACAACCAGCCTAGTCCCTTTCGACTCGAAGGACTACTAAGATACAACATGTCCGATCCAAACGTGCCAGTTCAAAAGTTGCTTCTGTGCATTCAACATAACAGAGCACCGCAAAAATGGGCTAACCCCTAGCACCTCCGTCTCACGAATGCAGTGCATGGAAAAGGGACGCAGAACGGAACACTGCTGGAAAGGCAAAGCTTCAATCGAAGGAACATGATGACAACTTTTGCTCATTGAGATGCCTGCTGGCTCCTCAGGAGTTCCCTGAATCGCTGTTGGCTCCACTTTGCCTGTGCTGCAATGTTCTGCAACGACATTTCAACCTGCTCTTGGTACAGTCGCTTAAAGGCCATGCTCTGCTCTCTATGTCGTAACAATTTCGCCACACGGACGCCATTACGAGGCACAATGCCCCCTGCCTGCACACCAGCACTCGGCCCACTGCGTTGAGCAAAAGACCCAGAAGGGCGGCCGCGTGTCGAGGGCAGTACCCGAACTCTCACCTTGGCGAAGAGCCCTGCTCTGGGCAAAGATGCTTTCGACACGAGTCCTTCTTACTTTTCCAGGCAATTATGTGGGTTGGAACGCTTTCACACATGGTGAGGCCTCAGCACATCTGGACGTACAAGGAACCAGAAAGCAAAGTCAGCAAGCTCGCCGCGACCGGCATGTTTCCTGAACATCAAGTGTCCAGCCTCTCTCGTATTCAGACATGCACCAAAACATCACCATTTGTTTGAATGTCAATGGCATTGCATTTGCATGATAACAAGTACGTAATTGTACTTTTGGTAATCCACTTTCTGCAGGAAAAGTACATGATTTTATGAATGAACATTGACATTAAGTGAATTGATAGCTATTTCTACATACTTTGCTTTGCTTGGCGTGTGCGTAGGTCTAGAAGTGAATGCCATTCCCAGCGGCCAACCAGCTGCGCGACGCCGGGCAAAAGCTGCTTTGAGCCTCGTGTCGCATCACATGTTCGAGGAGTGACAGCTGAAGCAAACAGAACTTCAAAGTGAGGTACGAGGAGCTCCCTGCTATCGTGTCAACACGACACTGCTAGGGGACACCTCCCCATTCTTTCCAGGGATCCTTCTTTTCAGAAATCAAGCAGAATCCAAGGGGAAACAGCTGGTTTTCGAAAAGAACGATGGTTGAAAAGAATGGGGAATCAAGCCCCAGAACACTGCATTTCCTCGGCTTGGGATGTGATGTGCTCAAATCCGGCTGAAGGCCAGGCATCGCCTTTTGACATCATGACCTCGTGATCTGAGATCCGGATTGCGCATGTAAAAGGGAATGCTGGAAAGACACAAGCATTCGAATTGTTTGTCAATTTGCTCATGGCTACATAGGTCGAGGCAGGGCGGGCCTGCATCTGCCAGCGCGGGCGCAGGAGGCGCAGGAGGCGCAGGCGCATGGGCGGTAGGTGGCGTCCTGCCCGCTGGCCAAATTTGGCTCCCGTGAAATGGGCCCAAGGGCATCTTGTGAAGTCTAGTTGTAAACAGCTGATGAACCGCATTCGCGCGTTGTGCCAACCTGGTCAGGCAGCAACATCACGCAGCTGAGTCAGACATGCTGTGCTCACCTTTTGTCGACGATGAGAAACTAACAGCAGCCGGAGCCGTGCAAAAGGCAACCCACGGAATTGCAGTGGGGGTGCTACTCATCGTTTGCATGTGGGCAAAAGCTCTTCCGACCTGAGGTGGCTGAGCGGAAGAGCATTGGAACCTCACCTGACGCGGAATCACACAAAATGTAAACACTGCCAGCAAAGAAAAGGTTGCCAACTGACCAAGTAGATATACGCATGTACATATATATATATTATATATATATATATATATTATACATATATATATATATATATGAGCCAGCGTCTATATTTGCTGTGTGGGGTGTATTCATTCTACTTTTAGTGAGTCCCCTATCGTTCTCCACGTTTCGCGTGTTCGTGCTGTGCCCGATGAACCCTCTGCAGGGATCGCGCGCCTCGAAGCGCTGCCACTGTGGCGCCGTGCGAATTTGTAAAGCGCCCGATGAACCCTCTGCGAGGATTGCGCGTGCCACAGCGCCCTCGCTGTGACGCCGTGCGAATTTTAAAACTGCCCGATGAACCCTCTGCAGGGATCCTGCGCGCCCAAGCGCTCTCGCTGTGGCGCCGTGCAAATTCGTAAAGTGCCCAATGAACCCTCTGCGAGGATTGCGCGTGTCAAAGCGCCCTCGCTGCGACGCCGTGCGAATTTGGAAAGTGCCCGGTGAACCCTCTGCAGTGATCCTGCGCGCCCAAGCGCTCTCGCTGTGGCGCCGTGCAAATTCGTAAAGTGCCCAATGAACCCTCTGCGAGGATTGCGCGTGTCAAAGCGCCCTCGCTGCGACTCCGTGCGAATTTGGAAAGTGCCCGGTGAACCCTCTTCGCGGTGACCACGCGTGCCCAAGCGCTCTCGCTATAGCGCCGCGCGAACTCGAAAAGCACCCGACAAACTTTCTACGCAAACACAGCACTGGAACCACACGCGTAGTCTTTTGTAAGCAAATGCACTAGGCCTCACATTTGCAACTCGGGCCAATGCTCGGGGTATCGACGGGGTATCGACCGGGGTATCGTTCTGGGCGTGTGTCGCGTGACGAAAATTTTCACAATTTTCCATAAGCTGTTAGAGCCAAGCAAACACACAATAGCCTTTTCTGCCTTGCGGTAATCATATATCAGTCTTGGCGGCTTGCTTGCTGGCAGCAACCTCAAGGTCGCAAGTCGCAACTTTCACCACAAGCGCAGTGCACAAGTTACACTTCGGCAGCTCCAGCTCGAAGGTCGCAGCTTGCGGCGGTCACGTGTCAGTCCAAGCGGCTTTTGCTTGCTGGCAGCAACCTCCAGGTCGCAAGTCGCAGCTTTCAGTACAGGCACGGTACACAAGTTAGACTTCGGCAGCTCCAGCTCGAAGGTCCAGCACAAACCATGTTCAGGGGTATCGTTTTTTGTGAGTCCCCTATCGTTCTCCAAGGAAAATGCAAAAAACCAGTATTGAATGAAACGCCGTTGATAAAGTGGTCTTTGATAATTCTGAGGTTGACTCATATATCATGTCACTTCAAGATGAAAGTCTTGCCCACCAGGGACACATGCTTGAAGGGACGGGCAGCTTCAAGTACATGATGCAAGCGTGAGATTGCAACCAAAGCTCGGGATCAAACAACACAAAACCGGCCCAGCCGGATTGGAACACATCCTGACACCTGCGCTGACACAAAGTAGTCAGTCGAACCTGGCTTTAGCATTGGCGCGTCCCTGGCTGCTCTACATGGAAAGGCACACTCCTTGAACAGGGAGTCTTATAAAGCCTTGAATCCCTCGAAACGGACCTGTATTTCCAGGTTGAACCGGTATCACCACACAGCGCGCATTCACACTCACACCACTGCCCAAAGGTAGCCATGCACTCTCAAGTGATTCACAGTTACCACGGCTGCCCGGCCATGAGATGCTCGGGCCATCCGTCCTGTGCTTCTTGCCCTTCCCCACGCGCACGGCGGGCTCGCTGCCTCCCGTGTCGATCTGTTCAGCGTTTGTGACCCGAGGGCTCTGCAAAGTGGAACCAAGCTCGCTGAAAGGGCGGGTAGATGTGCCGTTCAGTTCAGAGTTGACATGTTGACTGCGTATAAGCTGTGTGCAAATACAGTGTGTGACTCCATGCTCCAAATGAGTAATTGTCAGCACTCATTTTCCGTGTGGCGCAGCGCAGGGCACCCCATACATCACGCAACCTCCCGCGCCCAGTGAGTGTTCAGCAATGATCCACGCTTGTGCCGGAGAAGTATGCTGGCTGTCAGTGACGTTTGCCAACGTTAACCATCAAAGTACACCCCACATGCATATCACCAGGTACAACGCATGGCTTCCTGCAGGCTGCAAACATCACTTGTACCCACCCCAAAGCTTGAACTTGGCACGAGCAGGACAGCCACTCAGGCCCACCTCCAGCTTTGCTAAGCACCTACTGCTGCCATGCCCAACACTGCCCTGAGGCCTTTCGTGAGAAAGAGACAGAGAGAGAGAGAGAGAGAGAGAGAGCATCCCGAAGCTGTTTGAGATGCTGAGGAAAGCCAGGGTCCGGCACCACCTACTGTTAGTAGCCTGGGTTGATCGAGACAAGTCTCGGGTGAGGCATGTTGTGTCAGGACGCACCTGTTAAAACCTCAAGCACTTCGAAAGGGCAAGGCCCTTCTCACATCGTTTGGACAATGCCGCAAGGAGCTGACCCGTAGCCTGCATCAGGCGCGTGGATGCTGTGCAGCCGCCAGGAGGCAACGATCCACCACAGGATGGCACCCACGCCAATGGCATTGAGGACCAAATTCCTGCAGTGGGCACTTGCTCGGCAAGTTGGGACGAACCCCTCTGCAAGCTTTCCCACTCGTGCTGGCGGTTTTGCCGACCAAGTCTCAGAATACAGCATCAATTTCGCATCAGGTAGCTGAGGGCAACATTTCGGGCGTTGACAGGGAAAGCTATGTAGTCCTCACCCATGACAAACAACAGTGCTTTCTGAATTCCACGCATGTGCCTCCTACTTTTGCTTTACCTTGACTGGGCGACAACATTCCGGTGGGTCGAATGCAAGTAAGCTACGGAAGGGGAAAGCTTCACAAGGCACACACCTGTGACAATACCCAAACCCGAAAGCAAGGCACTATCAACAAAAACACGGCTGAGTCTTTGCTGCGGGGAGTTCTCCATTATGAAGGGAACAGGGGTGAGATCCAGTGATGTGATGATGCTGATCTACCCCGCTAAAGACGGCGCCGCAGAACTGTGCAAAACCGATCAAGCCAAGCACGCCAAGCAAGTCCTGCGAAGCTGACCAAGCAGTTGCACATGTGTTGGCACAGGCAACAAAGTCAGTTGCAGCTCTGTTATTGAAAAGCGGGGAGCATCGGGTGCCTCGGATACGGCATTTCATTTCCAACACATGCTGCTTGCCAAGGATCAGGATGCCCCCAACGCTGAAGCCGCCACTGGTGGTACGGGCTCGGGACATCTTCTCGGCATCCGCATGGCATGCTGCAATTGCCCTGCGGTTTGAAACTGAAAATCGATTCCTCTGCTTTGGTTGCCCCTCTGTGCTTGAAAAGAGGCCACGGCGAGCCTGTCCAAAAAACAGGGCCACAAACAGAAGTGCTACAGTAGTGAGGTGCAACTCGAAACCTTCTGTTTCTAGAACCCATTGACTGAGATGTCCCAAGTCGAAGCTTGTCACTGGCTGAAACTCATCTTTCCTACGCAGGACCACTCGCGGCCCCTCGAATTCGGAAGGGCGGCAAACAAAGCCGCTCAACAGCCTGGAGCCAAGAAGCCGGAGAACAGCTCAGAAACACACTGAACCACAAATGGTTATCTGAGCAAGCTGGAAAGAGCCCGCAACCGCACGACCAATCGAACAACGAAACACGCAAACAAGCAAGCAATCAGAGCAGCCAAAGGACTGCTTGCAATGCAAGACAAGATGAAAGGCTAGGCAATCATCACGAGCAACCACAACCCATAGCAAAGCGAAACACAACAAGCACAAACGCAAGCACAACCTGCACTCAGAACTCACAACTCCGTTGTACCCGTGCACTGTGCACAATGGCCATCTGGCTTAGGAATCCAAACGGAGAAGCTATTGCAGGAGCTTGGCAGGAGCGCAAGACCAACTTCAAGTAGCTTCATGCGACCAAATGTTGCCCACAACGTGTTGCAGCGCTGCTTGGCAGCTGCTCATCCCTTGGATGCTTCAACAGGGAAGGGGGCGCAACCATGTGCAAACATGGGTCTGGAAGTCTTGGTGTGGCCACACTGCCCTCCCTGCACCGCTCGGCGTTTTGCAGGCTTCACGGAACTGGGCAATCACACAAGACCTTGGCTCGCAATTGGCACTCAACTCGGAGGACTGGATCATGGTTGTGGGTCGACCCCTGTTGCGCTTGCAACCTCTCAACACCAAAGTGATATTGACGCTTGAAAGCATTCAAGTGTGTGGGAGGTCTGCTTTCTGGCGAGAGCATGTTGCGCCCGCTCACAAGAACGTCGCTTCAGGGGCCATAGCCCCAGCTCCACAGATCCAGCACTGGCTGTGTAGTGAGAGGGATACTTGGGTCACACGATGATACCTGTCAACTCCTCTTTAATTGCTGCTCAAGCGTCAGCTTTTTTTGGAACCATAAATCGCAAGTCTGAAAATTCCGATGCTGCACATGGAAATCTGAAGGAAAAGGCGCAAAGCGAGAAACCGATCCGCAAGCTCCAAGATCCTCCCATTGTTTTTTGACACGGTGAGTGTGTCGGACCTGGGTCCGTGGATGTCGCCATTCTGACTCAGCCTCTTACTTGATTCCGGGACCGGCTTGAGAAAAAAGGCCACAGGCGACAGTTCAACCGAAGACCAAAACGTCACGGGCCCAGCCATTCGCCCTCCACTTCCGATGCCGATGGGGCCCTGGCAAACCGCTTCCGGGTGAGCCTTGCGCAGCTCCTCCGGCGCCCACAGCTTCCTGGAGCTTCGGGAAAACCCGGGGAAAACCGTCCGGGGAGTTGAGGTTGAGCTGTAAAACGGCCATAGGCCATGGGTGCGATGTGTTCTGAACAGAGGAAAATATTGAGAATTAGTGATTGCACAGGTGCCTATCCTTTCCACCATTTGCGACCTCAGAGCAGTGCTGTTGAGGCCCTGGCTGGTTGTAGACCTGGGCGAACACTGATTGCTCCATGCATGGAGGCCCCCTTGCAACGCACAAGCAGCTGATGTCCCTAGACGGCAAATTCAAAGGGCATGAACCACATGGCCACATTGTGGGTACAGCGGCCTATGTGTGGCGCAAACCTGGGCACAGCCGGCAAAGAGCTGTAGCCCTCTCTTTCTTTCAGAAGACAAACCACAAAATGAATTCCCGAGACCCCCTAGGGCCCTAGAGCACTTTGTGGATTGCAGGGTCTGGGTGTCTGGCCACTGTGGAAGCTGGCCAGTTCTTCTCTTTGAACTTCTTCTCAATGCGGTCGACCTGCTTGTGGGTCCTGCCGAAAAAGCAAATAGGTCCAGCGGGCTGGTCCCGATTGGAAGCGAGGTAGGGTTTGGTCGGGGGGCTCGCCTGTGGGCACGTGATAGACTCATCAGCTTCATTACACATTGCAATTTCTACCTGGTACCTCGAATAATTATGTTCATTGGTTTCTTCTTCCTTTTTTAAGAAATGATATATACCAACATCTATCTCGCAAAACTAAGGGTCCACCTTGCACCTCGTATTTCGGGGCCTTCCTTGCCTTTTAAACAAGTGGTGTTCTTGTAACCGTTTTTTTTCTCAATGGGGTCCGTTTTCAAGCTTTTCAGTGCCAAATAAGCAGAAACGGCTGGCTTTCGAGAACCTGATGCCAGTCCTAATGAGTTGACAAGGGGGGCGGATTTTCGTCTTCGAAGCCCCGGTGCGCCGCAAAACGCCGGAAACCACCTCGTAACTCGGGGGGTGGGGCTCGCCTGGGGCCAGTGGGCTCGGTATATTTTGGCCAGCTTCATGCCAGCTTCATGGCGAGTATCTCCCGAATATAATTTGTCACCTAGGATTGACTGACTGGTGAGCATCACTAACTCAAGCTGAAACTACCTGGGAGTCCAGTCTCCAGAGAGCCCGTGCGGAACGCCCTCAGATTGAGGGACCCCCCCAAACCCAGCCAGTCAGAGAATGATACACTCCACTGCATTCAGAAACTAACTGGCCCCAGCATTGCTACCCCTCCGCGTCTTCTGAGGCGCCCCGCTCCGCGGGGTTCACTGCATGGTGCGCGGTATAGAACCTGCTCCATGCATTTCGATTGTTGGCTCAGCGCAATCAGTTGGCAGGCCAGGGCGCGGGGGCATCTGCATGACACAAACGCAGAAGCCATACCTTCCCTTATAGTGTTCGGATTGTTCGTGGTTGGTGTCGTTGCAGTGTCTTAGAACCCAACGCAACCAAGTGTCTGCGGAGACCCCGCGTGCATGCCTTTCATCTGCCCAATCTGAAATGCACCCGGCAACATTATGGACATGAGCCCACTTGGGCCGTCGGCAGCTTTGCGGCGCCATGCTTGTAGAAGCGCCGGTCTGCATAGATGTTGGCGCAGCCTGGGCGCATGGGCATGAGAGCCAAGAGACGTGCCCACACATGCGCCTTGCATGCACTGTGGGAGGAACCAACTGTTGACAGCAAACGGGCACAACGAATCCACGACGCCTGCCACAAAGAATATTTGAGCTGAAACGTGTGGGAAAGTTGAGCTTGGAATTTGCCGCAACACGCGGCAATGCAGAACGTTCTGCCAAACAAGTTGGTCCCGCACCCACATTGCAAAAGCAATCAGTAGCCTCAGACCATATCGTCCACCTGTGTTCCGACAAAGCGTCAGGTGAGACATCAAATCCAGAATTCAGAGCGCTAACCTACTGGTTTCCCAAGGGCCAGGCCAGGTCCTCCACACCTTGTGCGGCGTGGCTCGGTGCAAAGCAGTCCAAAGACACTCGGGGAACGCCGGCCGTGTCTGAGAGTAGTCTGGCCCGAAAGAAGTGAAAGGCATGGGCCCGAGAGTAAACCGTAAACCCAGTTCACCGGCACATTGCCAGGGTCGGGCAAAGGGGTGCATAAAGGAGCCTTCAAATTCAGTAGGGACACGGATCAGCACCACCACCATCCTCTTCCTGGTCCTCTCATCCTAGTCTTCATCCTGGTGAGATTCTGCGTTACATTACCGCCGATGCCAATACGTTGAGCTTTAATTAAAAGTACGGCCGTGTTCGTCTTCCACAACAGGCGGAAGGTTCAAAGCCCGGCCACACAACAGGCAACCAAGCATGGCGTGCATGTTTAGTCATGAGATGTGAGTCTGAGCTGCACACTTGTTCCCGCTCCTCGCCCTCCACTCGAAAAGGAACTGGAACTCCATAGGGTCCTCGGCTCATCAGCAGGGATTTTTCACCCGCCTGGCACCACGCCAAGATGCCCTGGTCAAAAAGCCGGCAGCTTCCAATTGAGTCTCTCTCGAATGCGATTCACAAAGATCAAAGGCTCTGCTCACAAAGTGTGGACGGTGCTTCCTTCCCAAAGTTGAAGGCATTTTCCCTAAGACTGCGACTTCCTCCTTACAATGCTTGAGTTGTGCGACAAACGGGCCCTTGAATATCTCCAGGAAGCCCGCAAGAAGCGGCGGTAGTGCGACTAGTGAAAAATTGCATGTTGCTGTTGATTTCTTGATTGCTCTCTCTCCAGCCTTGCGTCCACGGGACAATATAATCATGGGGGGGGCACAGTTTGTCAAGGCAAAAAAGCCTGTTGCACAAACGATGTCCCATCCGTCACGCCCGTCTTGTGCTGTCTTACAGGCGAGGCGCCGTGATGTCGAACTTGCACCACTGCTTCGTAGCCTTCTCCTCCCATAGCGCCACCTAGGACACGCATCGCATCACTCAGAGACATGATTGGCCGGGCTCTTTGTTCCTTCGCAGCTCCCGCCGGACCTCCGTCATTCAATTGGGTTGGGCAAGAACTGCTCTCAGCATCCAGGAGGAAGATCCCCGTTGCTCAGAGTTGTCTTACGTAGGATATGGGTGGCTTCTCCATAGTTGCATGGGGCGACAATGTCCTGAGATGATTCTTGAAAGCTGCAAATGGGCAAAATTGACATAGTCGACATAGTAGCCCTGATGGGACATCCTCGTGGCAACCGATTTGCAATACAAACCATGACCTTTCCACACCAAGTACCGCTGGCTAATGCTGTCCCACCTGGCAAGCGACTGCCTCATGCTTCCTGGGACGGCCCATGTTCATAGGTTCCGCTGGCGGATTCAAGAAAAATAGAAACAAACGTGTCTCGGTCAACATCAACTCCTTTTCTTGCAAATCAAGCGGCATGCAAAATCAAGGGATCCTGCTCTGGTAATAGCACAAGGCTACATACATGCAGCACTGATGCGGATGTGGGCTATCGAAGGTACACGTGAGACTGTGACCCTCTTGCATTACACAGTCTTAATTATTCACAATCGACGCCTTTTTAACGCTGCAGAAAAGCCTGGGACATTCAAACAGTGGCCTGCTGTTGCTGAAAGGCCCCCCTGATAATGCAAAGGGATCCAACAGCCGTTTTCGTTCAACTTTTCTAAAAGGCTGGGTCCACACATTGCTGACTCATGCCGTGCGGGTAGCAAACAGCTCTGAGGCGACTGACGTTCAGCAAGTCCTCGTCCTCCGGAATCTCCACGACCTAGCGCCAACAGCATCCTGTTGGTACAGCGTCCAAGGAGCCGACATACTCATCATACATGCAGAATTGTTCTAGGTTTGTCAATCAAGGCGAATCCTTGGAGGTGCTTGTTCAGGGTGGAGGACCAACTCGTCGCTATGTATCTCTTGACTGTTGAGCTTCCGACAGTCCCGATTCACCTGTGAACCAGGTCTATCAACATTAATTTGAGCAAAGTATCATTAAATCTGTATTCAAACAAGGGTATCACCCAGAATCCTTGCTTCCCTTTGATGGCCCTTGCTTGACATTGGCAAAGGATCCACTTTGATTCAATGACGCGGCAAGCTATTCCATGGTCATCAATTCAACCTGCAGGCGGCAATTCCTCATGGACTAATAGAACTCTGGCAGTGGCCATGTTTCAAGAAGACAGCAACACAACATCGATATCCCTCTGGCCCATCAATCTCCAAGCGCATGCATGCGTGCGTCAAGGGAAAAGGGGGCCTCTAGCTCCAAACTGCACTCTCAGCTCGAGGATGCGTCGGGACGTCTGCATGGGCAACACCATGAGCAACTATTCCAAAAGTAAGGAGGATACCGGTCAATGTGACAGCCTAGTAGCAAACCTTCTTGCTCAGTGGGGTAAATGGTTGAAATGGCAGCCCTTTCCAGCATTTGCAACCAATTTGGGGGTTTCCTACTGTCTGTGAGTAGCTGCAGCCCTTAAGAGCCGGTTGCCCCGGCGCATGCCCCATGCCTCGTAGCTGTGATTGTAGCTGTGGTGACGAGGGGCCAACTCACCGCTTTGTTGCGGGGCCCCCGTCAACTCCGCTTGCTTGGTTCTGGGGCTCCCGGCGCGCAGGGCGGGAGCGCTGACCTTCCCAACCTAGCCCCCGCTGAAGGGAAGGCGGACCAAAGGAAGCCTCCAGCAATCCGAAACCCAAGACCATTGCAACAACACCCTTGCATGAATCGTTAGGCCTCAGCCTCGCCATAGCAGTGGGATTTCTACTCCTATGAATTGAATGCCTGGCATCCCCGAGGCCTACAGAACATATCGATAGATTGCACGAGCTACATAGGAACCCACGGGAAAGGACTATTGAACTCGTGACTGACTCAGTCACAGAAGGTCCTTGTCCATGCTCCAGCAACTGTCTACGTGCCAAAGAGACAGGAACTTTGAAAAGCCAAGCCACGATGTCGCATAATCAAATGCTGGGGCCGGCTGTCCAAAAACCAGCAAAGAAACGGCGGCGGCGGAGCTCCTGTCACTCCTGACGTGTTGATAAGAGAAATGCTCGCTTGCGTTCTGCCTCACATATGTCTGAGCAAATCTGCCTCAAGGGGATATTACTGTTACACAGGTTGTCTGGGGCTCAACTAAGCCTGCCTGCCTGAGCTTGCTGGGGCCGCTGCGATTTCGGGCAGGGTCTCGTCGCGAAAGTTCCGGCCTTGGCATCATGCCCAGGCCTGCGGGAAAGGTAAAGCTCCAAAACACATTTGAATCTGCACGTGCAGTGTTGGTGTTTGTTTTTTTTTGGGGGGGAAACACCCCAACTTGCCATCCATTAAGTAGGGTTGTTGAAGGACGCATCTACTCTCAAAGCTTCAACGTCCATTCCTTTTGGACTAACTCCGCAAGGACCTACACCGCAAAGGCCTTGGACAGGTCCTCGCCACAAGGTTTCAGGGACGTACTTTCCAAAGAGCGGTGAGAGCATGTGGTATCATCGTGCAGGCCAGCGCAAAAGCCAGCAAAACCGAAAAGGGCTTGCTCACTTCAAGGCGGAATGTCTCAAGGGCTGGTCTGGAGCTTCCATGCATGGCAACCCTCTACCGACTGACTCCTGATTGAGAAACGAGACCCTCCCCTAGCAATAACAAAGTACTACCTTGGAATCAAACCCTTCGGGGCTTATGATCCAGGACGTGCAATTTCTGAAGCAATACAAGTCCTGAGCGGGCAGGCCACAAAATGCGTTGGAAGTGAACCACACCCAAACAAACAAGTCTGTGCGTTAACTACCATTCTGTCAACCGGCCGATCGCAAAGCACTCATGTTTTGCCAAAAGTGATTCCTGCCAGAGTTGCCTCTCGCCGTACCCATCCCACGCATTGGCTGCCAGGCGAAGCCAACGACCGATGAATGGGAGAGCCTCAGCGCATAAAGAATGGGCGTTGTGGGCTTATGAATTGTTGGCATGGTGCTTGAAAGGCCCAACTGCGATTTATGGACCACAATGCTGGTGGCTGCTGAATGTTGACACAGGATCACCAATTCGCAAAAGCTGCTTTTGGTACGGGCGCGTGCCCATCCCCATAGCAAGCTGAGCCGCATGTACAAATTCCAAATGACAATGCTACACTTCAAAGCCACAAGCGACGGGCAGTGAAGGTTTCGCCATTTATCACAGTTCTGAAATGGGCTGCCATTCTTGAAGCTTTCTTACCGTTGGCCGCAAGGACATGCTGCAACTGAAGCTTCCTCTGGATTTTGAATGAAAGGAGCAGCACCCCACTGCTCCTGAGCCTCTGAGCCTCTGACAAGTGGAGCAGCTGGAAACTGGGCCCCCAGCCCAAAAGGTCCAAGTGGGATGGGCATGGCCCCAGCCTCTGGCGGTTCCGGCTAAAACGGCCCTGGATCCCTTCAGTGGTGTCGTCTGGGGAAAAAGTCCAAACTTTACATTTACCACTAAAATGGTCTTCCCAAAAAGTTTAAAGTTCATGAACTCAGGAAGTGAGCACTTAAAAGGTAGGATACACATTGCGCGTGGGCCAACATTGAGTTTCCTGGAGTTGTGTAACACCTCATGCGTCTGACGATCTGTTTGCTTGCAACCGTGCCCCACGCTGCCCGCCAGCAGTGGAACCTCTCCACCAAAAGACTGACGCAGCCCCTCCTTATCCCATCCCTTCGCCTGCGCCGGCAGCTCCTCCCACCCAGCCGGCACACAAATCACAAGGCCAAACGTCTCTGGGAGTTGTTTGCAGAACTCAAGGCATTTCTCTGGTTGTCAACCAATGCGTGTTGCATGACCTTGACAGGCTCTCAACTTCATTCCGCCCGGATATTTTCCACAGGCGACGGCTGCTTATGCTGAGCTCACACGAGCCGACGGTAGAAGGAAAAAAGTCCATCGAGGTCTAGGCCGATTGGCGATCCCTCAGAAGCCCTCGGCAAGCTGCACCTTCTCGAACTGCTTCTTCTTCAGGACAAAGCTCAGCTGGGCGACGAAGCAAGAGAAGGCAAAGGCGCAGAAGGCGTAGACGCGGTTCATATCCTGAAGGATGCACTCCTTCTCCTCTTGGCCAAAGCCTCGGGTGCAGACAGAACAAGCGGAGCCCAAATTCGTTGCACTGCGCACCGGCGCGGAAGCGTGCAGGGTCAAACCCGCATGCTCTAAACAACAAGACATGGAAAAATGATGCTGGTAGCCCAGGCGGAGAGTGATGCTTGAGTCACACGCCATAACACAACTGGCCATGTTTGCCCACTAGCGCCATCCATCAAAGGCCTACAGTGCGTGGCTTCAACATAGCAATATTGTTGCAACACAGCCTGGGCTGTATTGGCGCCTCCTTGCGTCCCAAGTGGGTTCCCACCCGCAGGCCAAATGGGAAAGGGCAGGGTGTGGCGGTTCCAAACACTTTTTGCTCAAAGCAAAGCAGCCACCAACATTAGGGTTCGTGGTGATGGGCTCGTCCTTGTCCACTTCATCTCCCACCTGAGCAGCTTTGTCGACAACCCGATGCCTGTATATAATATATCGTAATAATAGTAATAATACTAATACTAATACTAATGCTAATACTAATGCTAATGCTAATACTAATGCTAATAAAAATACTAATAATAATAACAACAATAATGGTAATAATAATTAACAATAGTACCAATAATATTGATAATATGCACATTGATTGATGTTCTGCCTCCCACCTCAGAATGAGATCCGCTTGCTACCATGGGTAAGCATCGAAACAACTGCTACCCGTTTGCATAAATGTGGATGTTCGGCGCACTTGCCTGCACCACGATGTCCGCACCAGTCAGACATTCTTGCGTCACCTGGCTGCCATCCGCCTTCTCAATCGTGACCTTCAGCCCGTCGATGGCCTTGCAAACGGAAGGCGCTGGAGCAGGTTGCCCGCTGTGGCAAACAAGTGTGAAGCAACTGTTGGGATCGAACTCCGTCTCCAAACAAGCGGCACGCTGTGCTCACAAACCCAAAGGGCGCAAAACTCATGCGCGGAAGGGGTGAAAGCAGATCTGTGCTTGGTCTTTCCCTTCCCTCTTGGCCTTTCCTCTCGTTGAGTGGTCTCCGACCCCTTTGCCTGAACGGCACATGTGGTGAGTGAATGAACAAGCTGAGTTTATACATGTCGCTATGCGAACTTGTGACCCCTTCTTAAGCTTCTTAGATCGACCATTGGATAGCCGCTGGCCTTGATCGTGCCAGTGGCCGACGCAAAGAACTGGTTGTTGTTGCTCTGGTTCCCCTCTGGGTAGACCTGTCCTCGCCCACGGTTGCCACCGAAGTAGAAGATGCCCTTGCCAAAGATCACCTTGTCGTTGGTGTTGGGGTCAGGGGACAGGACCGGCAGCACCATCTTCTCATATGTCTCACCTCCCGATCAAGAGCATCACTTGTCACTGGCCCCAGAGACTTTCGTGGATGAGCTGAAAAACAAGAAACTGCAGGGTGAGGCTCCTCCTACCCCTGCGCCGGTCTGAATAAGGCAATAAGGTCAAACATTCCACACAATATGTATATAGTTGTCTTTCACGCCCTTCATTGGTGAGTAGGTGCTGTTGCCTGCTGGTAGGCGTGTCAACCCACCCCTGGGCACATCCAGGTGCCACCCATCTTTTGTGGAACCTCTTTCATTCCAAGGTCAAAGGTCAACATTGCCAAGCGCCCCTTCCCCGTGGCGTCACCTGGCACCGGGCCAGCCACCACGATGTTGGGATAGTCCTGGGCAACTGGAGGCATGCCTCACTTGAGAAGCACCGCCGTAATGGCCGTTGGTACCTAACGTCGCGGCTGTCAAAGGGACCTTGAGGTTAAAAGCTCTCTTGTCGTGAGCTCTGGAGTCCAGACCTCCCAAACAACCGCATCACTCAAAGCCGGAATAAGGAACATGAAACTTCACAAGAGCAAAACGTGGTCTGGCTGCTCACTGGTTCCTTGCACTGTGACTAGACATCCTGGTTGCTACCCACACGACATTCCTTGATTCCAGCTTTGTGTGAAAACACCTGCAAATGCAAGGAACAAAAGAGTAGACTCCCAGTCCTTGCTGTAAGGCGCCCAGGCCAGGCCCTTCATCTCCTTCTTCAGCACTTTGGGGAGGCGGTCCTGCAGCAAAAGGCGCCAGGCCAAACTCCAGCGATGGCAAAAAATAAATCTGCCTTTGCCCGAAGCGCAGGCCGGGAGCCTTGGAGATACAAATTGGCGGCTGTCGGATGCCAACGTCAAAACGGGACGGGGAAGTAAACGTTTTAGTCCTTGGGTGCCAGCTTCCAGCCCTCCGGCATCACCGCGATGGCTCCGATGTTCATCGGCCCCTTGGAGCCATCCGCGTTGGGCTGGCGCCGCTTGGCGTACTTGGCGGGCACCTGCTCAAACCGGCCGAAGCCGGGCTTGGCGTTTGGGGTGTGACTCATGTCAAGTTTCTTGCTGGTGCGATGGGTAGGGCATGGCCCTTCCGGGTGTTGGGAATGAACCTTGGAATTCCCTTAAAGGACACCAACGGGATGGTTTATAGTTTATAGGTGTCATTCCCTGCTGAGTGTGAAACTGGAAACAACCCCCTGCCCTTCCTTACAACACGCTGCTGGTCGCTGGCCTCCACCTCCATCTTGAAGATGGTGTCCGGCAGCACCTGGGTGACGGTGCTGAACAGGAAGAACGAAAGGGTTTTGCTACACCTTTTGGTGCACCTGGAGGGAATCAGTTGCAAACCAGATGCTTTTGCTGCACCTGGAGGGAACCAAACCGAAAGCCTCTCTGAGCGGCTTGGAACTCCGCAGGTCGCCTAAGTGCGGCACCGCCTGGGGGAGCCTCACCTCCAAAGGCTTCGAGGCGAGGTGGCAGTTGGCACACACGATCTTCCCGGTGTACTCCCGGGGGTTGGCGTAGTTCTGCTGGGCGAAGATGGGGTATGCCACCTGGAGCCCGGCAAAAGCTGTGCCCTGCCCCAAAGCGAGCCTTCTTGTGCTAGCTGTGTCAAGAAGGCTGGTGCGGACATGTGTGGTCCAATGTGTACAGTGCATGTTTGATCGATTTCCTGTCCTTTGGGAGGGGGGCAGTACTTGGGGGGCCGTTTTGTGTACAGTGGCAACTTTGCCAAACTCTACGGGAGGTGGACTGCATAGAACCTTTGGACAATCCTGTCAACTTAGTTCTTCACTTTGGCTGAATCGCAACTGGAAATTTCAGTCGTTCTATGGATGGTCTAGGGTGGACTGTAGGATTCGCTCACGCTGCAAGCTCGCACCCTCAGAAACCTCGATGACGACTGGTTTCTTCATGGGTGGTTCATCAGGGAGTGTTTCCGTCAAAGAGTAAAGGAAGCTAACCCCCCTGTTTTACCACGACTTTACCCACGACTTTTTGGCGGAAAAAGTTAACCCCCCCTGTTTTTGCAGACCACGCCCCCCACAACGTTTTGGGAGCTTGCTTTCCCGCCAAGCTGCCGCGCACTCCATGGAGGAGGTGAAGACCATGGCCGCGGAGGCCCCGGCCAGCGCCTGCTTCGCAAAGTTCTGCACCTTGGGCTGGTGGGATTCACCCGGAAACAACCTGCAACTCTTACCTCCCTTCCCCGTACATGGCACCTCTAGGAGGGTCCCTGGAAGATTGGTTTCCTCAAGAGACCCCAGGTCTGGTGCTATGTTAGTTGGAGGGGGGTACTGTTGTTGCCCAAAATCTGAATTAAGAGATTTGCTAGGAAAGAACCTTTCTCATGGCTTTTAAGCTCGGTGTATGTTCAGGTGAGCTCGCGTTTGACGTGGGCGGACTGCCTCTCTACGCCCAGTTCACAGGTATACTCTGGGCTACATTGGGGATTTGCTCACTGCAGTGCTTCAAACAAGGGAGGGAAGCAAAGCGGCAAAGAGTTATCTAGAAGGTGAACAACAGAAGATGCACAAACCACGGCAGCGCAATGCGCTCACATCTCGCCCAACCAGCCACAAACAGCTTGCCTCCAGGACATGCTGATCCGTCTCCTCCACGGTCGGGGCATCCACCCCGTTCCTGGGTACATGGCGCTTACGCGGGTTTTCGTGGGCCAGTGAAGGAGATTAAACCCAAATGCGGGAAATGTGATCTGTGAGCAGGTGGCACGCCTGTAGCTGTTAGGCCAAAAGCCTCGCACCAGAGGTACTGTCAACCACGGCGCGAATGTGAAGAAGGCAGTCGCTGCCCTCTGCCGTTCCAAGGAGTGCTGCCAAACAAGTGCCCCTGCTCGCCCTCTGCTGTTTGAAGAAATGGAATGTGGCCATGGGCCATGAATTTGAACCCCATAGGGCAAAAAGCAGGTTGATTCGAGCAGGGCAAGCAAACCAACATGAAAAATGGCACAACAAACAAGGCAAGCACTCCCCGAAAATCCTGCAACGCTTCAGCAAGACGGTGTTGATTGCCAAGCATCATTCAAAGCCTTGAACAAAATGTCATGTGTCGAAATATGAGTCCTGTTCTGATTCGTCTGGATGCTCGGGGCATTTCTGGGACGACCAAACCCCTCTTGCAACGATTCCGGACTCCTCTCCAATTTGGGTATGTCTCCGCAAAATTATGGTTTCCCTTTGATGTTCCGATTGGTTTGCATTTGTAAAGTAACCCTGGCATACCCATACATCTCCTACATGCCCTGAAAAAAGGCACGGCCATTCAGAGCTCTGTTCCGTCCGAGGGTCAAGGCCTTGCATGCCACCAGCTCATCCCGGTAATAGCGCTCCGCCGGGGCAACAAACTTGGCAGCCCCTGCGGCCTGCCAAGCTGCGTGTGGATGGAAACCCCACACGTGAGATGAGAAACATACGCGGCACCAAGCGCAACGGGCAAAGAACAAAGCCACTGATCTTGCCAAACATGGCTCCAAAGCATCAAGCACCCACGCAACCATGTTAAACAAATCAAGCACCAACAAAAGCAATACCAACCAAGTACGCACAAAACCAACGACCGGAACAATCATTTTCGAAGTGGCTTGACTTGTTTGCCTCGGCAACGGGAACCCTTGACTTTAGCGTTGACTCAGGCACAAGGCGGGCCCCCACCCTCGCCTTGGCTCGGCGCGGGCGCCGGAGGCCGGAGGCCGTCACCAGGCCCGCGGCGGCCACGGCAGCAGCCCCAGTGGCGCTGGAGAAGCGGTGCGAGCCGGCAACCTGAGTCACGGGGAGCACATGCGAGGCAGCTCTGCCCTCCATCCACTGTGCTGGATTTGCACGGCTATGATGGGTTTCCAGCGTTTGGGGGCGCTGGAGGACATCGACTGTGGCTTTCGGAACTTTGCGCCTCTGCCAAGCTAAAAAAAACAAACTCCGATCAAAGCTCCGGGCCTGGGAGTGGTTAATCGGCGCCACGGGGGCGGAGCTCACCGGCTGGGCGACGAAGGCGGTGGACAGCATGGCTCGTGAGTGCGGTGCGCCTGAGACCTTGAGACTGCCAAGTGCTGCGCGAGCCAAGTGTCGACGGCCAAGCGAGGCGTCCAGGTGGGATGCGAGTTGAAACGAGAAGCGAAAGGAACGTCTCCTTTGAACAGCTGTAGAAGGAAGCTGCTCAGAAGCCAAGCATTGGGAAATTCCTTGGTTTTGATAGAGAGGGACGTGAACGATTCAAGCACAAGACGCCAAACATCAACAGCCGCCTGGGCAGAGGCATCTCTTTCCCAACTCAGGTGCCCTTGTCAGCCCTGTCAGCTCAGCTCCGGTGGTGGTTTGGATTAGCGGTTTGAAGGTTGGATGAGGTTGACGGGGGCTTCCCTTGTAGCGGAAATCAGCAGATACAGCAGGGGCTCGAAATGTCGGAGCCATTGCCTGATACACTGAACTCGGGCATGAGTTCAAGCACAAAACAAATCTAAACAGCAGCAGCCGCCCCAGCTTCCCAGCTTGGAGGGCCGCAACTTGAGGAAGCGCTCAACGGCCAACTCCCAAATGCAATAAACAAGGGGCAAGGGGAAGCACACGCTCGATGGTCAATACATGGTAACTACGTGCTCTAGTCGATCCGAACAAGAACTAGGAACTCAAAACACCACAAACCCTGTTATCAACCTTATAAGGGATTTGAAAAAGTGACCACTCCCCCAGTTTTCGCCCATAGCCCTTGTCCGCCAACTCGCAACTCGCTTAGCTAGCGGCGCATGGTCTGCAGGCTGCAGGCCTTGGCTTTGCTTTGACCCCTGAGACTTCGTCGACACACTGCACACTCAAAAAAATCAATCTAGCACCAGAAAAGCCTTCATTTGAAAAGCACTGGAAGTCCCTCACATAGTACGCAACAATACTGGGCACTGGCTCCTCTGTGGGCGGCTCAACACCTGAAAAATGCCCATCGTGGCTTCCGCACACGGAAGCAGGCCATGCATCTGTTTGAAGGATATGCAACCTGCCCCTCGCCAAGAAGCAGTATCTGGACAGTAGCGGCCCCACCAAACTCCCAAGTCCTGGCATGGGTCAAGGCTGGAGTTGGCCCTGACATATGGCCAGCCAAACTCATTCTATCTGTGCTGAGTCACGGACCAAAAACCTGTTCCTGGAGTCAGGGTGAGTCAGGGACCTGCATCATTTCCTTGTATGCTCATGTTCAGGAAATGGTTGCTCATGGCTCCCTTCAGTCAGCCCCTTGGCAGGAAGCCTCATATTGTATGAGGGTTCGTAGACATCAAGTGACAAGTTGGCTCGTATCATATCTGCATTGATCAGGGACACATCGCATCCGGTTCATTGCACCAAACTGCCAACCACCCCTATTGAGACAAATCGAGTGACCTTCCCAGAAACTGGAACCTGACAGGGGGAGTCCTGGAAGACAACTTTTATTTTACAGGGACCGGGTCCCCGTCAGGCTGCATGTGAAAAGGGTGGGAGGGTACTACTCAAACCGGCTCGCTCGCAAGTCCTTTGGCCCGCGGTCCAGAAAGTGGACGGGCCTAACAAAGGTTGGTCCAGTGCATGGAAAGGCCATCGGGGCCCTCTGAATTGGGTGAGATGCACGGAACGCCAAGTCAGGCCCTGTCAAAAACACCACGAAACCTTAAGCAAGGGGTTCTTCCAAAAGGATTTCTAACAGGATATTCATGTGCCAATGAACGCTTTTTGGAGTTTCTCTGGTTGATTGACTGTCTGCAACCACAATTTGCTGATGAAGGCATCACCCTCCCTCCATGGCAGCTGGCCAAAAAAGGCTGCCGGCTTCTGCCCCAGGCCCTGATCACAAGACGGTCAAGAAACAATGGGCAAGCTTCACCTCAGTTGGGACAAGCAAAGGGCATAACGACATAACTGTTGCCGCGCGCTTTGCGCACAAGTTGTTTCAATCTCTGCTTTCTGGCAAAAAGGAATCCATACGAATCCAAACAAACTGTTGGCGATGGACAACTGAGCCGAAGCCCAATACTGGCAGGCACTCAGTGCCCGACATGATGGGGAACGGGTAGCTCTTTGTGATTTCCCGCCTGGGCGGCGGGCAATCGCTCTGAGAGTCAACAACGATACAACGGCAACCAGTTGACATGTTGCCTTGCTCCATTCTTTTCTGACCCGTTGTCAAAACACGGCAACTTCCTGTCTCGTCCTTAGTGTTGAGGGAGCCACAGTTCAACGCACAAAATCAGAACATGAATGACCTGAAGGTGCCCAAAAGACGAGTGAGTGCCTGTTCTCAAAATTGCACCACAAGGCCTTTCAATACAACGGACAGCTAGGTGAAACGTCTACGCCCCGCTGGCAAACTTTGGAAATGCGGCCACAAGTAGCACCCATATCAGGCGCGCTTAAGAGGGCTTGAGGGGTTGTTGCCAGGCTGGCCCGCACGAAAACATAATTACGACGAACTGATGCATCAAACATGGCTCAAAGTTGTTCCCCCGAAGTGTTGAATCCGGTTCCGCCTGTAGGCCACTTAAACCAAGCGCACCATCCCGCGTCCCATCGGGTCCCCTTTAGGCGTGGTGCTCCGTCATCTCGAACAGGCGGTCGACGTAGGGCGCCACGAACTGGTCGGAGTCCAGGCCGACGCCCGTCAAGACCCGCGCGAAAAGGAAGGCGCGCAACCTGAGGCCGCCAACTCAACTCACATCCGGGGGTTCTGCAGTAACCAGCTGAATTTTCTTCCATTGTCGTCGAATACGCCCCCTGGAAAAAAACATAGAAGCTTGCAGTAATAGATTCCCAGTTAAAACCAAAAGGGGAACATAAAACAACATCTTGAGAAAATAGAAGCAATTGGCTCCCCAATGCCAACCCCTACTTGCGAATAGCGGCAAATAGCGCGGCCAAAGCTGAGCAAAAAGCAAGTCCCCAGACTGCCAACATATTATTTATCACAGATGCTTATAGTAAGGCCCTATCAGGGTCGATGTAATGCGCCCAGGGGCCGAACATGGGCCGAACATCCCCCCCTGGCCACCTTCCGAAGTGGAAAGCCACCGCGCGGTCTGAAGGCCGTTCTCGTCATTGCGCTTCCATAGTTCAACAGGAAACTTGAACTGAGGCTTGCAACTGTTTGCTATCATCATTGACCCGAAGTTTCTCTGCAGCGTTCAACGTATCCCCAGATCCAAGTTCCAGGCCAGAGGGGGTCCGCGTTTGAAGTGGGGGCCTGTTGATGGACACCACTTACATGATGATCTACTTCCACCAACTTCAATCACGGCACTCCTCATTAAGATCCATGTTGACCTGGGATAAATCGACCTGGCGGATCCTTTGGGGATGTGTTTGCCCTAAAAGTGAAGAAACATCTCGCTACACCGGGACACCCCTTGTTACTTCGCTAGGTGCATCCGGATTATCTGGCTGGGGCACCGGCCCCAAAAGGTGAACGAAGATCCCGCGAAGCCGACACCGCTTGAGCCCCGAGCTCTTCGGCCGGGGCGCTTGTTGAAGTTGAAGCCCCGGTGCAGCTCCACATCCATGGGCTCCGCGTGCAGCAGCACCAGCCGCGGGAAGCGCTTGGCCGTGAGCTGGGAGGAGCACGTCATGCCGAAGTTCACCACCACGATGAGCTGAGCCGGCGAGAGGCGGGGAATGATTTGCCGAGCCCGTGGGAACGAACCGATTGGGATCGGATTCCGAATAAAAGAAATCGGAGGGGAGCTGGTTTATGGGGAGCGTCCCCCCATTCCAGGCTGGGAACCAGAAAGCAATTGAGGCAACCAGCACAACTCGTAGGTCCATGCTTCTTCCACAGTGGGAGGAACCGTAATAGAAATGGCCAATTGGGAACAACCCCAAACTGCATGATGAGGCAAGGGCTGGAGTCAACCAACTACAAAAATACAGATGCATATATATATATATATATATATATAAATACATACACAGCATATAGTATATAAACATATGTGTCTATATGTAAAAAAAATAAAAAATACATAAATAAATAAATAAATAAATAAATAAGTTATATACATATATGTAACGAATAGATGTATACAAATTATTTACAACCGCAGCAAGTATTGCGCACAGAATACCGCGAACAGCTTTCGGTAAAAGGATGTTCTTCTGCCTAACCTTCAGCACCCTGTTTGAGGCCACGCCTACGTTGGCAGTTGCCTACACAAAGTCTACGTGCCATGAAACATGAACCCGAGCGGTCCACACATGCCTCAGAAAAGCAGCCAAAGAAAGGCAAACAATACCTGCATCAACATCACAAGCAGGTTAGCATCCTCGCAACAACCTGGCCACTACGACGACAACGGCAACAATGGCGACGATAGCGACGGCGACGCCAACACAGACACTCACCACCAACAACACCAAAATAACACCAAAACAACACCAAAACAACACCAAAACAACACCAAAGCAACCAAACGACACCAACAACGCCGCCACCACCAAACACAACAAGAACAAGAGCAAGCACAATGTTAAGAAGATGCAGGAGAAGAACAGGAACAACAACAGCAACAGCAACAGCAATAGCAACAGCAATATCAACAGCAGCAGCAGCAGCAGCAACAGCAGCTGTAACACCAGCAACCACCAATCCACCAACCACAGACCACAAACCACGAACCATGAATCACCAACCAGCAGGCAGCACACAACAAACAACAAACAACAAACAAACAACCAAACAACAAACAAACAAAGCACAAACAAACAAACAAGCAAAAGAACAAACAAACAAAACAAAAAGAAGAACAAACAAACAAAACACAAAAAAAAAGAACAAAACAAACAAACCAAAACAAAACAAAACAAAACAAGACAGACAGACAAGCAGACAAACAAACAAACAAACAAACAAACAAACAAACAAACAAACACACAACAAGCACACACATACAAACTACCACAGGTTTTTGCTATTCGCTACCTGGCTGAATGGTCAGGTGTTCACACCTCATCCTTCTCCAACCCTGCACCTGTTTGGACTCATTGCATACGTCATGGCCCTACCTTGCTTTTTTGGGTTGCTCCTACCTCGTGTTGCACCTGAGTCAGTATGTTGCCCAGAAAAGTGCTCGCCTGGCCTTTGCTGCAGTTACCTCTAATTGAAGGCAGTCACTCTCATGAAAAAGACACAAGAAACAACACATACAAACACCTCTGCAGCAATCAGACAAAGTGAGCCAAACAAACAACCAAGCAGGCAAGCACAAAGCCAGCAAAGCAAACAACTATTGAACACAGGCAGGCAGCCAAACAGGCAAGAAAGCAATCAATCTAAAGAACAACATGCAAAGCAAGGGCAAAGCAACGTCAGCAACAAACACACTTGACAAATGCGGACATGGCGGACCGAAAGCTGGCACGGTCGCAAACCGATCCAGCCCTAGATATAACTCTCCGAGGCCAGCTTTCGAGACAAGCACCAACAATCAAAAACTAAGCAAACACAAAACAAAGAACAACCTCAACCGAAAAACAAGTAAATAAGAATGCACGCACGCCAATAACTAACCCACTCCCGGCTCAGCACCTGCTTATCACCCGGAACGACACGGCAGCACCTCTGAGGAGAAGGTGTGCACGGACCGGATCAATTCCTGCGAGTCAAGCCAAGGTGACGCAGGCTTAGGTACTTGCGTGCAGCTCTTGTTGACCCAAGCGGCCATGCAATCGTTTGGTCATCCGGGCTTGGCCATCCTCCGTCATCTTGGCGTGCTTGCCGTCAGGCGGCCCAGCGAAGTAGTTCACGTAGGCCCGGTCTGCCCAGCCTTGCTTCTCCCCCGGCCGTCCAAAGTACTTGTGGTACACCTGAAGCATCTCACGCCAAGCAGCGACTTGTTTCCAGCATTGCCCCGAATGGATTCTCATGCTCACGTTGCCGGTTACCATCAAGTACGCGCGAAACGCCCCATGCCAACAGTTCAAACAGGAAATTCTCAGTGCCGCAACTTCTGCCTGCCTCGGTGAAGCGAGCATCGACCCGCGCGCGCATGAGCTTGCGCATTGTGTCCAGGTCAATCTCGCGGTCCCCTCAGGTCTGTGAAGCGCTGACGACAAAATGATCCTTCCACATCCCCTTTGAGATTTAGGGGGTGGGGTTGTAACACCCATATAGGGAGGTCAACCCCTCCCGTTCTGCAGAGCCTTTCATTCCCAAGGACCTCTGCGTTGCGCTGGTGCGCAAAAACCTTTGTTACCAGCTCAGGAGCTGCTTCATGTCGAGGCCGGCTATCGATGGGCTGCACTGCTACTTTATACATGCACCCAATGCCTGCAAATCGCTTACATGTGGGTTTGTGCCAAACTATGGAGACCCCCAAACTAACCCCAAGGGTTCTCTCCGAAAAACAGACACGCAAACACATTCTAGCAGGAGATAGATGTAGCCATGCTAGCATTTACACCCAAAATGGCCTCTGATGTGTTGGTTTTTGCTGCTACTGACCCTCGGGTGCCACTCCAGCTGGTTGGGCAGGGCAACAAGGCAAACCCCTTGCTAGCGTGTCAAACACTAGCAGTGCCCTTTGCATCATTTCATAGGTGAACCTTGGAAATGGGCGCTATGAAAGGTGAGGACTGCAAGACATCCCGATTGAGGCCGGATTGAGGGGCGTGTTCGTGGAATACCCTTCCGATTCCCATGGCCATCCCAGCCTGAAGGCTCCTGGTCCCAGGGCCCACAGAAGAACTCGGTGGCTCGCCACTGCTGCGCACCCCAGGCGCCTTGCCCCTGCCCGGAAGGGCCGCTGAGACAGGTGAGGGGATTTGTCATTGGGCGCTATGGGATTGTCCTGAACCCAAAACCGGATGCCAACTCTAAGCGGGAAACAAACGCCTCCAAAACCCTCCAACTCCAGAATTCCTCCAATTCACGATTTTGAGACGTGGTGAATCAGTCAGCACAGCTGTCATACACGTTTCTGCCGGAGCAATGTAGGTGGCACCCCTACAGCCTACCAGCGTTTGCCTCTACCCCTGTTTCCCCAACAGAACGGTACTTTAAACCAACAAAAACGATGGTGCGCGCTTCCATCCTTCCACTTTGGGGGGCTCGATCCCTTTCGCGCGACTCTTGGAGGGCCTTGGCCTTAGCCCAAAGCTCGCAAGAGGACGCGAGCGGAGCTCCCAGCCGTTCTGCTTCGGCATCCGGGAGCCACATGGGATTCAGTCCTGCAGGCGCTGCGGGTTGCTTCTTATTTGACATAGGTCAAAATGGAACCCACCAGAAGGGGGGGCAAAACCATCTGAGGCCTCTGCTTGGTTTGGCTTGGTGGTTTGGAGGCTGGTGGGTGGTTCATTGCCCTATCATGTACCCCCCCAAACAAACAACACACACACAAGCTTTTAAAAAACAAACAAACAAAAACAAAAACACACACACACACAGACACCTGGTTTTGGCCAGAACTGTTTGAGACTGCGCTGTTTAGTACTGAGTAGAGAAAAGGGACCGCTTTGATTTGCAAATGAGTGACCCTAAGCACATCTGGGGAGCTTGGCTGAGCTCATCTGGCTGCAGAAAGTTTGACATAGTATTGGCAATTCTTGGGGTCCGCTGGAGGGGTTTTTACTATTGGGGATCTCCGCTCGTAAAAAATAAGAATAAAAATAAAAGGCAAGATTCCCAAGTCCTGTGGAAACGAAATCCATCTCCACCAGGCTTATTTTGGCCACAGATTCGGGACATGCCTCCATGAGGAAACTTGCCCTTTGAGGTGAGAGGCATACATTTTTCCAATAGTTAAGGTAGGCTAAAGCGGGCAACCCTGGTCTGGACGTAGGAAAAGCGTGTGCGACTCTCCTTTGCTTTGAGCAGAGCGATCCCTGTGCTTCAAAAAGTGCTCGGGTCGAAGGCAGGCGCCGGGGCCAAACCTTCAGAGGGCTCCAAACAGTGCGGAGGTGGTATGGGTCAAAATTAAACCAACAGGAATTGGACCGCAGGTTTTAGTCCATGTTTCCATGTCCAGGCAGCGATACGACAACTTGGTGTCCAAGGAACAAACAGTAAAGCTCAAGGCATAGAAACCCGGAGCCTGTTTGGAAGGACAACCTTTCAGTCCTTTTGTAGAACCTTCACAGCCTGACATTTACGTAACTGTGTCAACTAGGGATCGACACTACTTGGGCGTCCTGTAGACTAGGTACCCCATCAAATGGGTGATCTCCAAATGGTGCCCCTAAAATCAAGCCAAAAGTGGCTCCCTACACACCCACGAGCTACCCCTAAAACTGCCTTAGATTGTTCTTTCCAAACATGATTTGGTGATTCCTCATGTCCAAGGTCTTGAGCTGGTTTCAGGGTCCCGGCCTCCAGTTTTGTTTCAAACGCGCGCCCCGTACGAAGTCCGCTCGCCCGCGGTCCTCGATAGAAAGCGCTGCCCGGCAGCACCTGGCACTCGCAGTGCTTGCCGTCGTCCCCCGGCAGCAAATCCTCGCGCTTGCGAGGCGCTGGAATCATCGAAGGGGTGGTTTAAGAGGGCACCCGGGTCCCAGGGGACCCGTCCCAAAAACACCCTGGTTGAAGGGAGAGGTCTTGATTGCCTCACGCATCCTCACGCCAAAGACTTACCAAACAAACCTAACTGCCCTGCAAGCCGAGTTCCCGCGCCTCCAAGACCTGCACGCTGCACCTGACTGTCAGCAGCTCGCCTCAGCCCACCCCCACAAGTGAATCTGGGGCACGTGTTCTGCTGGAAGGCTGCGTGGCTGCGAGGCTTGGGACACAACAGCAGTCCCTCTGTCATCGCAATTATTTGTTTTGTGCTGTTGGACAAATCAGCGTAGCTGCCAGCCAGGAAGATTCATAGCCAAGGAAACCAACGCCACGTTCGCAAACCAGATCGGGCAATACGGCTGACTTCGCACGGCTTCAGAATTGGAGCCAAGGCTTTATTCACCAATGATATGCAGGGCGACCAAGCATAGCTTGCCAAGTCTCCCTTCTTCTTCGGCTCCATGACTGCCCACCTCAAAGCCAAATGCCAGCTGACCACAGGCTACCAATTCCGAGCAACTGAGACCTTTTCCTCGTGGCAGTGTTGAATTTGCCCTGCCTGTGGTAGAGCGGCAACAAAATCGCAAACTTCTGTCAAGGAAGCTGCATGCCCACAAAATCCCTCAAACTGCTGAACAGTGGAATGACTTTCGCTTGTTGGATGGTCGAAACAAGCTCGAGCAGGGTATGAGTTGGGTTCTTGGGCGTCGCGATTGCTTGTCCGACTGGTCCGCCTCACATTCAGACCTTCCCCTTCACAAATGACAAGCCAGTGTCCCACCAGCTGATGATGCCTGCCTTCAACAGCTCTCAGAATATCCGCTTCAGCCGTCTAGCCTTTTTGCAAGGCTTGGTGCCTCTTGGAACTGATTGCGTCAGGCACGTGCTTTTGTTTGCGCGTTGGATTTGATGCCCTTGGCTATGGGGGGGGCCCTGGCCCTCACGGGCCAGCATTGGGTTATGGCAGTTCCGGTACGGCGCAGAAAGCTTCTGCGTACGATGGCCGGCTGTTGTACAAGGTATGCACTCCCAGCAAGCTGCAGTCTCATTTAGCTTCTTGTCCTTCAAACACAAGCTGTGAGGGTGCGCCTGCGCACTTCATACCATGCTTCGCCCCCCCTATCGGATTGCAGTGCACTGGCGCTTCCCCAGCTCGAGCTGCAAAGTACACGCGCGGCACGCCAGTACACCTTGGCAGCTCCAGCTCGAAAATCGCAACGTGTCAGTACAAGTGCAACTCACGAAGTGCATTTTGGCTTGACAGGCGACGCTTTTGAGCACTGGTGCAGTTCACAAAGAACACTTTGGCTGCTGTCCACGAACAGGCGTGCTCGGACGTTGCAGCTGTTCAGCAGAAGTGCGTAGTACACAGCGTAACTTTGGCAGCTCCAGCTCCGAAGTCGCAAGTATGTGGCACAAGCCAGCTCAAAAAAAGCAACTGTTCAGCGCAGGCATGATGAGTGCTCAAAGTACACTTTAGCAGCTCCAGGGCAACCGCGGTTGGATTCGGCATGACACCGAATGAGTTGGCTATCGGTTGACTATCGGTTTGGGTATCAGCTCGGGCCCTGCAATTATCTGATTCTGCAATCTTGGTTTGCGACACCAACTTGGATGTCTTCATGGCTCCTACGAGTATCGCTTTCACTCCTCACTATCGGATTGCAGCGTCAGCATTGCATACCCACAAAGCAAGTTAAGGGATGGAACCTTGCCAAACAAAAAGGCGTTGTTAGTTTGCTTTCGGCCGGTTGGCAACTATACAACTGCCAAACCCCAGCCCGATTTTTTGCTGGACCATCCAGTGTGGGGAGCTTAGCTAGACTTGGCCTCGTGTTAAGCCGCCAGGTTTCTTTGGGGCCTTCTCTGGGAAGCTTTAGCCATGCGTCCCAGGCGCGTCTCTTTGTTCCCCCACCGAACTGCACCTCCGCAGGTGCAATCCTTGCGGGCGCTGCGAATACGGCTACACTGCACATCGGATGGGCCTTGGGGCCATAAAAAAAATATGAAATCAAACACGCATGCTCAATCCTGGCATGACCTAGGGAAGTCGAAATTCGAACCAAGTTGCTGTATCAACATGAGTTTGATGCAGCAGCTAACTTTGAATAAATATGGCTGGCAAGTCCCACAGCAAAGAACTTCGTTGCGGCTGCTTCAAGTGCATGATGTCCATCGCAAAGAAGGGCTGGCGTCATTTCAATGCAAGTGTCCTGCCACTGTGCAGCGCAAAAGACCCACTGCGGGGTTCCTGGCCGCGTCTTTGCTTTAACGACCAGGGGGAGAGCAGGGCCCTAAGAGAAAAAACTCCTTCCGAATCAACCTTGGGCAAAGCAGCAAGTCGCCACAATCCAGCCTGGGCTGTTTGTATGGCAGGAGTTTGGCGCTCAGCCTTTCTGCAGTGTGCATGTGCCTCTTCACATTCAGCTTTCATAGACAAGGGCAGTCTGCAGCCGAAATGTTGAAACGTCCCCGTGCCATCAACGAGCCTGCTTCTTTGGCACTGTGCAGCGCATCCAGCGCACCCGGCGCACCCTGCGCCTGCAGTCCGGCTGAGCAAAAGTCCCCAGACTATGCGAAGCCACAGACAAGCCGATCAGGGTCTGGCCTGGAGCCTTGCAGCTGACATTTGATAGACATGATTTTCCAGTACCTGGAAGCAAAAGGTTGGTTTTGGTTGGGTCACGCAAAATGAAACTGAGCTGCTGCTACCGGTAGCTACCTCAGTCCGAGGCAACTTCCTCCGCCTCTTCCGCCTCCTGTGAGCCCAGCTAGCCGTTCAGCCAGCCAAGCCCAAACAGGGCACCCAACCACTGCTGTCTTTGCTCGTCTTGTCATGTCCCTAATAGCATGCCCTCACTTGCCCAAAGGACCAGACAAATAACAAGTTGCTGCATGACATTGGGAAATTTAACCCCCCCCCCAAAAAAAGAGGACCGGCTCGACGTTGGGCAAGTCGCATGTCAAGCCCTCTGAGAACAGTGCCCCGAGTCTTTCCAGTGAGCCCATGTTGCACGGGATTTCTGTGCACGGCTAGTTCCAGCAAAAGACTTCGCCGAGCTGCAAATTCTGGTTCGGTTTGCCGTTGTTCGAGCATGCTTGCCCTTCTCCGCTTGGCCATCCCCCTGCGAACCACGCGCTGGCAGCCCTCATGCCTCGCCTCATCATCCTCATCTTCATCTTCCGAAGGCCCCTGCACAACGAACTGCAGCCAGCGAAAACCAGCCTTCCAGAAGGCGAAAGAAGCTGCAAAAAGGGGATGGAAAGCCAAGAAAACAATGCCCACCAACCATATCTTGCATGATAACGTATGTGATACCAAAGGTGAGCGCGGCAGCCCCGCGCATTGGTGCAGAAATGACTCACAGTTGTTTTCAGCCCCAGTCCTTGCGCTGAGCCTTCCAGGACCTCAGGAAAACCACGCCCACTCAAACGGCTAACTAAGGAGCAACGACCCTGGTCATTCAGTGTGTTTTGCATCCAGAGTCTTTTGAAATATGGTAAGGACTCACCAGCCCTCCTTATCAGCCGTCAAACAGTGAAGTCAAAAATACAAAGGGAAATTGTCTTTCAGTGTAACGCGGCTTTAACTCTGCGAAGGGGGATGATGATGATGATGATGATGATGATGATGATGATGATGATGATGATGAATCTGCTTGGAAACCTACACAACACATGCTCTGCCATGTTTGCTACGCTATTCCAGGTGGCGAGGCTTAAGCTGCTGCATGAATGCAGCTCTTCCAAACTGTGCGCACGGCATCAAACAGCCCGTCAGAAATAGGAACCATTTCTCTGCCCCACCGGGTGAACCATGTGGGCCCAAGCCACTGTTTGGATGGCTGTTAGTGCATTCGGCTACGCACAGGTTCGCCGTTCTTGGGTTTATGCTTCAAAATAATTTACCCTTGGTCTAGTGACTCAAAGGAAGCCTACAAAGTCATGAAACCAAGTCCAAGAGATGAGGACCCGCCCTGAGGCGGCCTTCCCCATTCGAGTGAGTCTTTGGGCGCCTGGCTTCAGCGCTTCAGAGACCCCCTGTGCCAGCTTCACCGGCTCGTCGTGCACTGAAGGCAGCTGTGACTGTGGCAAGCTCAGGCCCAAAATGAAACAAGGGACGCAAAAGGCGAGACAAACCGCAAGGTCAACCATCTAGGGCTTGATGCCCCCCCTCGAATCCCGCATTTGAAAGGTAGGGCGCATATCAGTGCACCTCTGCAATTCAGCGCCTCCGTTGGCTTACACTCCCTGGAATTAAACAGGAAGCTCCGAAGCTTTTTTTTTTTTGGCAGGTTAGTCGAAAAAAACAGGCCTTTGATAAATGCTAACATATAAGTCCCTGGGGGGTTTTGGTCGGCTTCCGGATTTCAGAACACGCAGCTGACTTCCGACGACGGTTTGGGCAACGGCTCCCTCAAACCCTCAAAAAACCCCCCGCCCCCCCCCCAAACACACGCCTGAAACCCCCCCCCCCCCCGCGTGCCCCCCTGCCCCCACCAAGGTACCGATGTACGACTAGTGCTGTTGCTGTGGCATATGGGGGGTGAGGTGAGCTTGACTTGGATTCGTAATTCGTTTACCGAACTCCCAAGTCCAGCATGTGTTGCTGTTTCGGCCGAAGACTTGGCCACCTAGTGTGGCCTGATCGTGGAATCGCCTGAATACAGCAATTGCCATGGAAGCCGATCAAACGGCTCAGAAGGCGACTGGGTCCGAGACACCAGCTCGCGAACCTGCTCCTAGGCCTTAGATACCTTACTCTGTTTCCTCTTGCATCGACCCCTTTAGATCGGCTTGCATGTTAGCTGGATTTAGCCAGGCTTTGTTGGCTCCTCAAGGGAGAGCTTCCATGTTAGCCGGCTTTGGTTGTTTTGGTGCAGTGGTCTTTCGAGACCTAGTATGACTAAACCGAATACGTGTAAGATGTAGGTAAAAAGGACTGGTTTTTGAACCCAAGGTTTGCCGAAGAGTCTACCACAAGTCGCCACAAAGTGTGGCATCAGCGCCTGCTACCCCAGCAGCTTCTTGGTGTGTCAGGTATTTTTGCTCTACAATGTTTAAAGTTTGTGCTTGCCAACTTAGCACTTCCATGTTAACCCACTCTCAGTGTCTGAGGCTTTGCTCAGCCGGACGGGGACATGCGTCTTGGAGAATGGCACGGTGTACATCAAGGGATGGCCTGCCAATCGTAAGCCCGTCGCTTTGCAGAACGCTGCGCGGCACACGGTTGTGGAAGCTGCTCTGTGGGCTGAGACAGACGCGCGTCTCAACAGTCAACGTTTGTTTGGCAGTGTCTGTGTTGTTAACGTGGAAGCTCCACGCACGAAAGTTATGGCAATTCCTGCAGTGATCGGCGCCCCTAGATTGCGCCCTTTTTGTTTTTTTGTGTCTGCTCAGCTGACACCGAGGCAACATCAAAGGCCAAGGAGTTTGCCCGTGGCCTACCCGGAATATCGTTGCTACGCTCTGGGGGGACGTTGAGAGTGTCTTCGAGCTTTTCCGGGCTGCTCGTATAGCTTTGGCACAGCTGTTTGTGTCTCGCTTCCATGTTAGTTTTCCAAGTTAAGGTGATGTGAAACCAGTCTAGTTTCTTGCCCCCCCACCGTTATGATCGTTGTATACCTCGAGGCTTGACGCCGCCGCGCGCGCCGCGAAGGTGATCGAGGCTCACAAATGTGGCGCGCAGTTCAAATTTGTCGCGCGGCATCAAGCATCCTTCTGTTTTTTATCGTAGAAACTAAGCCGCAGGTGACCTGCCCCTGATTGTCCACTTTGCATTCTAAGGTGAGCAGCTGCGACTCGTCAACTCAAGTGCAAGAAGGTCTGCTGAAGGACCCGTTCTTTGAGCAGCACTGCATTTTTGCCGATGCTCCTTGCACGCAAAGAGCAAATACACCATCCACACACACACATCGCACACGCGAGCGCACACACACACACACACACACCTATTTGGATGGACCATGCTTCCTCAAATATGTGTATGAGTTTCCTGAGCTAACCTGGAAGTTGCGAGGGTGTTTCCAACCAACTCAGGTTCTGATGAATGTGGACAGCATCTCCCGCGCCAAGCTGAAAAAAGCGGTGGGCGTGGACCAGATCACCGAGATTTTGGGAAAAGCAGTTTTCCAGGAACGTGCACATTGTCTTCGGCATCCGTTCAATGTTGCTGGCTGCTTTCTACCACGCAACATTGACCTTGAAACCCGGCTTAATTATTCAAATACGCGACTTCCATGTTAGGGATGCTGGTGGGGTCAATCTGCTGATCTATGGTCCTGGTTTCCATTTCGCCTTCTTATCTACTGGTGCAGTAGTGGGGGGCTGCCTGCGTGACCTGTCACAACAAAGGATCTGAGTGGTGCATCGTGCAAGGACGACAGTTTGATGGGCGGAAACCGGCAAAATGAAGGTGATGGACGTCGCTCTGCTTTGACACACTTCAAGCAACTCAGCTGCCCCAATGGTTGAAAAGAAACCTCGTCCCGTAACTTTCTTTGCAGGCCCGGAAGGTGTTGTCACAAAGCAAGATTGAGAAAACATAAATTTGCAGGGCCCAAACCGATGCCCAACCATGTATTGCAATACAGTAATCAACTCATTTGCCGCCATGCTGAATCCAACCAGCTTTGCTGGAGCTGCTACAATGTACTTTGTGCGCTACGCTTGTACTGAACAGTTGCTATTGTCCAGCTCAGCTGCCAAAATGCACCATTCGAGCTGGAGCTGCAGGAGTGTATACCGTATTCTACACTTGTACTGAAAAGTGACGACTTTCAAGCAAAGCTGCCAAAACACTGCAATTACGATGCAGAGGGCGAAAACCGATACTAACCAATACTTGGTGTAAGGTTACAGGTCACCACTTCTCTTCCCTCGCCCCTTGTGCGGTTCACGCTCTTTGACTAACATGGAAGTTGAAAGCCCTAAAGCTAGCTTATGATGTTGAGGGGAACTATGGCCGCAGGTACCACTTGCACGCTGGTACCCGCATCATGGTGTGCGAGAACGTAACCACTGGCTCGATCCACCGCCTAACAAGTGAAGCATTGTCCAGCAATGACCAGTGCGAGATCCAAGTGGTTCACGCATCCAGTGATGACAGCGGTTATGGCGCCAACCGTCGGCTCAGAGGATGGAAACTCGAAGGTCCATTAAACCACAGTTTTTCCTTGTTTACTGCAAACCCCGCTACCATGGAACTTGGGAGGGGGCCTGCCTGTTGTTGCATTCCGGCACCAAGAACAATAGCGGTACGAAGAGACAAAGGTCGGTTCCTCGCCAACGTGCAACAGGCATATGATTTCATTTGTCACCATTTGAAGGAGAAACAAGTGTCTATCCTGGATGCATTCTGGTGCGAGGATGAAGACATGCTCCTCGAACTTCAAAAGCGTGTGACGTGTGGTGAGCATATGCCAACCGAAATCCTGTTTGACTAACATGGAAGCCCAACCCGAATTTCAAGCTGCGCTTTGCTCGTCGATCCTAGGCTTCGTGCGGAACGTCAGCGTTGCGCCACACGTGGCAAACCCATGAAGGATTCGTTTGAGCGCCTTGCCTCAACAGTGAAATCGCACCCATCGGATCTAGGGTCTGAAGACCTAGGGAGCTTGTGACTCTTGCTCAAGAACTGCAAACTAACATGGAACCCGGCTGTGTCCCTAATAATAAACGCCCCCTCGCCCCTGATAGGCAAAAAAAGAAACGGGCCCCCCGGCTTGTTCAAGCAGGAAAAGACGGGCCCCTTCAATTTGCAAGAAAATGTGTTCAGTATGCAAATGTGAAGTAAGAACTTTTACAGGGGAAGGTACCCCTCCGATTTGAAAAGCAGTGTCCAGAATGTATTCGGGGTGTATATCTCAGGGGAGATTTGGTTCTATCTACTGTGGCTTTCTAGGAGCTTCCACGATAGTACTTGTTGTTTGGTTGCTCAGGGCAATGTTGTCCGATTGGGAGAAGAAGAACCTGCAAGACGCGTGGTCGAAGATCGATGAGGACTCAAATCTCCGCCCAATATGGGCTGTGTTTAAATTCTAGGTTAGTCTCCAAAAGAAACACATTTTTAGGAACCCCCTTCAAAAAAGCACAGTTTTTTAGGGCTCAGCTGCTTCAGGATCCGCGTCTTCAAGGGCATCCCGAAGTACACGTGGCAGTTCCGCAGCAAAGTGTGAAATGCATCAAGAAGACATCAACTTCATGGACCGTTGCCAGTCACAGTGGCTGGAAATTTGCGGCCGCTAACATAGAAGCTCCAATATGTTTGTTGGTTTCGATACATGAGACACATCGACAATACAGTAATGACGGACCAAACGCTTTAATTGCGCAGGACTACGCCAACCTTCACTACGGTGGACCATGTGTGGCATCGGGTCAAAGGCCGGTGGCTGACTGCGGTTGAAAAGCTGTCTGTTATGGGATTCCCAAGTACACCAGAAATATCCAACGTATACGGGACCGACGCTTGCCGTGCTTGTTTTCCTTTTTTGCTGTGTGTTTCCGTCAGCCAGTTTCAATCCAATTGAAGCTTTTCGCTGTCTACGTTGCGCCAGCTGTTCTTTGCGCAACACAAACCCATGCTGAAGGATTAACCCATTGATACACATCCAAGGACCTCATGGCTATGGATGCGTGGCCACAACTGCACCAGCGGATCGGCAACTCGCAACACCTTCCGCAGGCTGTGCCTGGGTAGCATCGATCCCTCCAAAGAGCCAGGCTTGGGTTTTGTTTTGGCGCGGGTCGTTTTTATAGCTTCCATGTTAGTCAGCTCTTCCGACCGATTTTTGCTGAGGGCATCGTGTTGCTGGCAACGCTGAGTTGCGTAGAGTTGTATACCACGACAGCAATGCCGTCCAAATTGTACGGGCCCAACGTCGTCCTGCCAGTGCAAGCTAACGGATTGTGCTTTTGGGCGTGCTTGTTCCTGGGCACAAAAGCTACGCATCTTCAGCTGCTTGGTTGGCATTCACGCCCTCGGAATTCTCAGGGGTTCCCATCGCCAGAAGAATGCACCATGGAAGATGACGTGGTTACCAGGTTTGCGTTGGCCATCAATGGAGGT